CCATACTGTTTTCTGATATATCATTTCTCTCCAGGTGTTCTACCCATTTAGTTTTTATTATGATTTCCAATATTTTGACTGTTACCCTTGTCAATGATACAGGTCTATAATTGAGGGGTCTTCCCTGATGCCACTTTTGTAGATTGGAATTATGTTAACCTTTTTCCACACATCAGCTACGACTCCTGTACACAGGGATGCCTGAAAAATAAGGTGAAGTGGAATGCTCAGATGCTCGGAATGGAATGCTGTGTGTGTGTCTCTCTCTCTCCTGATAAAATACAGCACAAAAAAGTAGTTTTTATGAAGATAAATGAGCTACCATGTTTTGAATAGTTATCTAGTTATCTTCTAAAATAATCTTTCCCGCCTCTACTCTTCAGACACCATCTTGTCGAATTGGCTCTGATACACAACATGCCCAACATTAACCTTAGTCCTGACTTTGTTGCTGTTGACTTCCCTTTCAGAGTACATACTCAGATGCTCTAACCTTTCCAACAAACGTAACCTAAGATAAGTCTGCCCATCTTTTTCCTCTTTATTTTTCTTTCTCTTATGTTCACATTCTTACACCCATCCCATCTGTACCATTTATCTTGTTCTTGCTTTTCGCCTTGCTCTTACCTTCCTCTAGGAATTACCTGCTCCTCACATCACTCTTGCCTTACTTAGGCCCGTGCCTCCCTCGCTCCCATCACAATCGACTTGATAATGATCCAGGACGAACCGAAACGTCGTCGTCTCCTCATCTTCTGGTGTGTGATTTAGTCATCATTTTATCCAGATTAAGTGTTTAAGGTTTGTGATAGTTGGATGAAAAGAATTTCATTATATGCTGTGCACCATTTGTTTATTCACTTCCTAATGGTAATGATATTCTTTCAGGGTAGCAAGCGGGAAGGCACCAAGCGAGGCAGGAAGCCAGGACGAAAAGCCAAATCTGATATGAAGGCCAAACTTGGTATGTTACATTGCTTGAAGTTTACTGAAATTATATACTGTATTCATTTTATTCAGTAATACTGTGCTGTAGTTTGACTGTGGGATGGGAGGGGCAAAACAAAATGGAGAGAGAATGGGATAAGAAAGTGGGAAAAATGACATCAGTGGGGGGTAGGTGAAGGAAGCCATTAAAGGATGCAACACTAACACACAGAAATCACACTAACGTGATATGAGAGGTCCAGTCCACCTCACATCCCTGGAGAAAAGATACAAGGGCTGTGAGGTGAACTGGACCAATACAGGAGGAAGTATTGGTCCAGTGGTAGAGTACACAACTGGCAATGCCGGAGTCGTAGGTTGGTGTTGCCTCACAGCCCTGGTAGATTTCCTCATGCAACACTATTGTTGTCGAGACAGAAACGATAACATAATAGCCAGGTAGAGAGTGGAGGCAAATTTTATTAAGAGTAACATAATTTTTTTAGATGAAAAGATTTAATGTTAGATTTTATTGGATGTGGAGAAGTTGGTCACATAGTATTTCCGGTGGAAAAATAATTAGTGGACTAGAGGAATACAGTACTCAACAAAAGTATAGGCCACCCTGCTCAAGGCAGTGCGTACTTATGGCATAAAATGAATGATAGTTTTGCGAGTGAAATATGGGATACAGAACTTGGCACCGGGTACATGGCAGGGGGGTTTCCTGGCTTCCCAAAGGCACACGGCTGGTAGGCTCATTTGGCCCCAGGCATTCATAGTGAGGGGTAGTGTTGCTCGTCCCACTCTGGGACCTTGCTGTCTGTTATCACAGTTAACAGTGGGGAAAAAGTTAACTTATGGGTGAAATGTTACAGTATTATGGTATATTATTACAGTATTGATATTACAGTACATTGTTGTTATGGTACCCACCAAGGAACTAAGCAAAGAAACCATTGCTCAGATCATTGCTTTAAAGTAAGCAGACCACCAAATTCACGTCATAATTAAATTATTGGGTGTAGCTCAGTCAACATGAGGCAGTATTGATTGCATTTCTGGGGGAAGAACAATGGTAAGGGAATTACCAGAGAAAAGCACCATGCCATTATGACTATATAGCACTTGGAAGGGGTCAGGATAAGGATTTGGGATGGGACGGGGGGAAGGAATGGTGCCCAACCACTTGGACAGCTGGGGATTGAACGCTGACCTGCACGAAGTGAGACCGTCGCTCTACCGTTCAGTCCAAGTGGTTGGACAAACCATCACAGAAACGTTGGTCTGGTTGTCCTGGGAAGACTTCTTCGAAGTCTACCTTGCTTTATCATGTCATGTAAGGTACACTCTAATGAACATTTTGGGATGTTCATTAGAGAGTAATGAAGAGTGGGACATGCTACACAACTGCTCACTATGAATGCCTGGGGACAAATGAGCCTACCAGGTGTGTGCCTCTGGGAAGCAGGGGGAAACCTCCAGACGTTATGTATCCAGCACTAACTTTGTCTTGCATATTTCGGCCACACAACTATAATTTTTATGCCATAGGTATGCACCGCCTCGAGCAGGGCAGCCCATACTTTTGTTGAGTACTGTTTGTGGTAATCACACATGATGAAGAAGAGCATTTTTAAATTTTAACAGATTGTGATTAACTATGAAATTGCAAGTTTTTTGGGGGGAGGGCAAGGAAACTAAAAGTAAATAAGTATAAAAGAAGCATAAAAAGAATAAGGAGCAGAAGAAAAGGGTAAGTTCTTGAGTAATATGCTTATACTAAATGGAATGATTCATGTGCTTTAATCTGTAATCTGAGTCAGTGTAGTCAAAGAACTAATACCCCGTAGATGATGGCTCATGTCAACTGATGTTATTCACTATGGACATATGAGTATTGGGTTGTTTATAAATCCCTATATTATTACCTAATAAGATGCTTTGTTATTACAGTATTCATATGAAGTTATTAAGTTGAGTGAATTTTAAGGATATGGCATCGTTGCCATCAAAAATACTTTAGCAAATTATTACCGAAGACCATTTTTGATACTCCTCATTATGCATTTATTTGTTTTCCCTTAAATTGTCCAAGAAGAGAAAACAGAACAATAATGTATTAATACTTCATCAAAATCTTAGGAACTGGTATCACTATCAGAATTTAATAAATTTAAAAAATCTGATTATCTAAGGAAATATATTAAATTTTTTTTAAATATTTCTTTCCAGGTACAGTATTTCATATTAACTCACTTGGAAAGAAGACATAAAATTAAAAATATTTTTAGGATTATGCACACAGTGGGCTAGAAGGAAAATAACTGACTCTATTTGTAATTCACATTATATTTTTGTTTGCTATGTTAAATGATTTAAGCACTTATGGCAGTTTTTGTATAAATTTTTCTATTACAAAATGAAACCTTTCCACATTTTTGGCATTTTCAGAACGCAGCCGGCAGAGTGCAAGAGAATGCCGTGCTCGTAAAAAGTTGCGTTATCAGTATTTGGAGGAGCTGGTAGCTAATAGAGAGAAAGCCGTTTTTGCATTACATCGTGAATTGGACCAGGTTAGTCCTATGTCATCTCTCAAACCTTTCATGCTTTCAAGCTCTTTCCTATACGTACTGTATGGTTCTCATCTTTTCCAAGATACTGTTCATCCAATATACTCTTATTTCATTATGTCACCTTTTTTTTTTTTTTTTAAAGATTCTCAGGCATCCTGTTTACATGTCAATACCACTTGTCTAGATTCACCTGCTCCTCCACTCCACAATTTCATTCCCTCACCCCTTGCACTCGTACTTTCTCATTGTGATACCCGTCTCACATACTCGTACTAGCTACCTTTCTTCAAAAATAAAAAATACCCGCTTGCCCCATTACTTACCCAAGATTCACCTGAATTTATTATGACTGGAGTAGTATACCATTTGTCCTTTCTTAACTTCCATTCTTACACTTTCCTTTCATTGTACTATTCATGTCTTGTACTACTCGTTACATACTTCACCTTCCATCTAACAATTTTTATCTAACACTGCCCCCGATGTATATGAAACTTACTGCTACTTCCAGTATACCTTCTCATAGTTATGTTACAGTTCAAATCTTTTTCACTGTAAGTATCTACAAATCCACGATATCCATTCCCTTATCTCATACCTCGTAATCTTATTTTTTTTTACAATGACCCTCACTTTACTTTTGCACACTATCAAAAGTGTATAATGTTTTAAATTCTTCCTTACACTACATTCTATACAAACAAGTCAATAACAAAATTTACAGTATCAAAATCCACTTTTACTCCATGTGTTTTTGCCTATCTCCCTAACTAATCCAGGGGACTCATTACACATTCCTGTTTAATGCCAACTCCAGCATTAAAATCTCTTATTTTCCCCCCCTACTCTTTCTCATCCTCTGCAATTTATATATAAAAAAAAAGTTTACTGCTTTTAAACACTCGCAACATCCCTCAGTGCTTCACCATCTTTTCAGTTTGTTTTTGTCTATATCCTTAAAGGCCACATACAACTTTCTTTCCTTTGCTATAAATTTTTCAACAAATGTTAAATGGGAGCCGGTCGGCCGAGCGGACAGCACGCTGGACTTGTGTTCCTGTGGTCCTGGGTTCGATCCCAGGCGCCGGCAAGAAACAATGGGCAGAGTTTCTTTCACCCTATGCCCCTGTTACCTAGCAGTAAAATAGGTACCTGGGTGTTAGTCAGCTGTCACGGGCTGCTTCCTGGGGGTGGAGGCCTGGTCGAGGACCAGACCGCGGGGACACTAAAAAGCCCCGAAATCATCTCAAGATAACTCAAGATATTGGTAACCTGATCTGTAAAACCCCCTCTTCATCCTAAACTCACATTGTTCTTCCTTTCCCTACATTCTGGTCTCTTACAATCTTAATTTACACCTTTGCATATGCTTTTCCTGTATTAAGTAAACTTCTAGAGTATTGGCATTTTTCCCTAGTATGCTTTCTCTTATGTATAGGGACTAGAGTAGCCTTAGTGCAGTCATATGGTACCTCGCCTTCCCTCACTATCTGCCACTCCTCTAACATGTCCACCATCACCTCGCCCCCATATCTCATCATGTCTTTAGTTATAATACCTGTACCAAGAGCCAGTCCACTCTTTAATGTGTTTATAAATTTTTTATATATTAATGTATCCAGTTATATGTTTATGCAAAATGTGCAGAACTAGGCTGAGCTCTGACAGCATTTTATAAGATTACCACTGCCATCAGAACTGCTTAGTGGTTCATGATCGTGCATGAAAATGTATATACTGTAGTTGTGTATAAAATGTGTATTCAGCATAATAGCACCAAAAACTGAATATTTTATTGTTCAAAGGAAATATAGTGTGCATCTTAGTAACATGAATGTTTGAACATTCCAATGTTCCCATGCATTTTACTTTATAAATTTTTCAAAGGGCACTATTGAATAATATTACAGCAGAAAAAACTTAACGAGACATTAGAATAAATATGTAAAAAATAGCTTTATGGGGGACTCCCTCACTTGGCACCCTTGAAACGACTGCGATTACTCTCATTTTTCCATGATCAGGGAAAGCAATTCAACAATATTAAAAGGGAAAAACATTTCTTAGTCTTTTATTTTATGCACACCTGGGTGTTGCACCATATAAACAGGGTTAAACTGCTTTCATTGCCCTCAAGCAATAAGGTACCAATCACCCATTACAGATGCAGGCGATGAGTCACAATAATGTGGCTAAAGTATGTTGACCAGACCACACACTAGAAGGTGAAGGGACGACGACGTTTCGGTCCGTCTTGGACCATTCTCAAGTCATTCACAATCGACTTGAGAATGGTCCAGGACGGACCGAAATGTCGTCGTCCCTTCACATTCTAGTGTGTGGTCTGGTCAACACCCATTACAGACTAAATGTGCCCTGTAATATTCAAGTCTAACCAATTCTACATGGACATCACTCGACACTAGAAAGAAACCTCTGGCAGTTGTTTGCCATATTGGAAAACAAATCTTGAAAGCCTTAGTTTGCTTCTTGAATCTTGGTAAAAAGATGGTCACCATGCCTGGTGCATCACCATACAGTGACTGGTGCCTATGTTGAGAACTTGATGCCAAGCTAAATTTCAAGGACTATTATGGACCTGGAAAATCTTACGTGATGAGGAATTTTACAAATACTGTATGCTTGGTAATCCAATTCATGTGGGAGCCCACCCCCCACATTTGAGTTAACTGAAGTTTTTTCAAGAATATCTAAACATGAATGAATGCAGTTTTTTTTGTACCACAACCTGGTTATTTCCGTGTTTACCACTTCAATTTCATCATTTACCTGCTAATTCCCACCATTTACCTTTGCAAGATGAACACAAATTAACTTGGGTTACCTCAGGTAACTGGAATTCTGATTACTGAGCTCTTGCAATAGTTAACTTGAAAATTATCCCTTGGGTTATGATGATATAAGCACCTCATCTCATTTTGGCCAAACTGAATAAATTTTTTGTTAAGTTATTTTTCCTGATATCAGTAATCAAAGGTTTTTTCATATTGTAAAACATTGCCCCAGGAAAAAAAACTCATTTAACCCCCTAACCTCAACTAAAATTGAGACCTATTTAGTTGCTTTACTGTCGTTAAAATAGTAAGTACGAAAATATCTCTGGCTGCACAAGATGAGCTTGCAGGCACGATGGAACAGAGTCCTGCACCTTACTGCCAGAACTGCATTATTCTGCTAACTGTCACTCCTTGCAAAATGTCTTGATATTTAGGAATTTTTTTTTAGCTGTGCCTCTTCTTTCAAGTCATATGTCCCTCATTAAAATCTTCCTCTTCTGGTGTCGCACATCTTTGTGCAACATCAATACGAGAGTACATTTGTGCTCTCGTATTGACACCCTAAGTGATATCTAGGGTGATATAACTGTAGAATACTGTACTTTTTAACACTGCTGCGATAGCTTTGTAAGAAAGCTATCTTGGCTTTGTGTTTTTTGATAATTACATGTTGTAGTGTAGCCAGCAATGTGATTTGTAAATACAGTATCTAATCTGGTATGTTTGTTTTTTCCAGTATCGTCAGTGGGCAAAAGATATTGACGAAGGAAAAATTCCTGAAGGCTTGTTGAAACTGATTGAAGAAGAAAAGATTAAGAAGTCTGAAAATGAATGAATACAGATCTAAGATAAGAAATTAGTATACTGTATTGTATCTGGAGATGTAGAGCAAAGAGAATTTGAGAATTTTAAAGTTGCCATAAACTGTGGAGGGGCAAGAGTTTATTGAGAATATAATGTGCTATTTTCTAGACAAGTGGCTTACCGATTTGTATTCAGCATTTATCAGTAAGACGAAATTGGGTCATTGAAAGAATTCAAATTTCTTGTATCCCAACATTGTTGCCTTCCTAGCTTGCTGCCGTCAGATGGTCTCGATGCTGACTCGTTACTTTTTATTTGGTGATAAATTTCATTCATATCATAACAATCATGTGTTCATTTATTCCATTACTTCATTGTTTTCTCTAGTATCATAACTCATTATATTTCCTTAGGATTGGTTTGTTGGTGACCAATCAGAAAAATCATTTTAAATTGCAATTATTTCATATTATAAAAATATTTATGTATTAATAAAAGTGAAAACAAGATTATTATTATTAAATGACCCAAACGACTACTGTATAAAATTGTATACGAGTACAATTACTATAGTTCTGAAAGTAAAAGTATGGTGTTCAACTACTGCACACATTGCCTGCTTTGCATAGTTTTTCTTAGTGTTTACAGTGGGATTGGGTGGTTATAGATAGGAGCTGCCTCGTATGGGCCAATAGGCCTTCTGCAGTTGCCTTTGTTCTTGTGTTCAGTGTCCCATAATGTGCCCCATGGAGGGTCCCACTTGTTAAATTTTGTATAGCCCTGACCAATATGGCGAAGGCTTCCACACACCCTACTCTCTTAGGAAATGCCTTTTTCTTTAATTAATATTCTCACTGCCACTCATATGCTGCTGCTGTTTATGGATGGAGTGGCATTTGCCGATTGTGTTAGTCCGATGAGGAAAAATAACCAGGTCACTCGTCTGCAGAATAGTTTCATCCATAAGAGCAGTAGTGTGTGAATAGCAGTGAAAATGTTTAACCAATGAAATGTGGTCGTCTTATGGTGGTATTGTACAGGGTAATGTAGGTATAACTCAGTTTTCATGCAAATTACATAAAATAGTTATTATAGATCTTCGTGGATGTAATTTAGCTACCATAGGCCTGTGAAGAAAATATCATTACCTTGTATTATCATTACGGTAATTATCAACAAATTACAATGTCGTAATTTACGGGGTCCAGACAGAGATCGTCACAGCGCCCTTTCTCCTGAGGCTGGCTTCCTTCATGACCCAGCAGAAGCAAGAGTAATAATTATTGTTTTATTATTATTATTATAATAATTATAATATTTGTTGTAATATTTATTACTCTTCATTCTGCTGGGTCATGAAGCAGGCCTCGGGTGAGAGGGTGCCGTGACGATCTGTCTGGAACACACAGGTACGGGACTCGGTCGTCCACCTCCTGGGGGCCGTGCAGCCCAAGCTCTGCTTCAGGAGGCAGGGTTGTTCTTGCCCTTGCTGGGGTCGTTTTTCTCCAGCCCCGACTATGGCGGTCTCCGGGTTTGGAGTCGCTGTGCCTTCTTTAACCAACTTCGAGGTAAACTCCGGAGCTGGAGCCCCTAGATCAGTTCATTGTTGCCTTCGGCCTTGTTTTGACAATTCCTGCAACGGCGTTGGAACCAATCGTGTTTGCATTTGTCCTTCCATTGGAGACTTGGCGTCGTGGAGAGGGGGGGAACCTGCTACATGGGTGACAGCTTCTCCCCCGTATCAACCTACCCCGGCTTTGCGCCCTGAAATGGCCACTCCAGATTGACAACCAGAGCACAACTTCATAGTCTCCCGAGACTGATGGATGCCTATTACTACAATTTGGTGTTTCCCTCTGGTATTTCAATCTCTCTCTGGGTAACATTACCCAGAGAGATTGATTACATTACCAAGATACATTACCATCCCAAATCCTGATCACTTCCCAGTGCCATATAGTTGTAATGGCTTGGTGCTTTACCCTTGATAGTTCCCTTCCCTTCACAATACTACTATGCATATGGATAGAGCAATGTCTTCTGATGGTGTTGGCTTCTCAGGTTATCATCAAATCATGTGCCACCTTCAGAGGTATATTTTTTCTACAGGAGAGCTGTATATAATTTGTTTTTATGCTCTTAAGTCAGTTACTTTTCATATACTGAAGCCAGTTTGTTATTGTAGTTCACAGGTCTAACCATTCTCATCCCATGTTTATAAAAAGCCAACATTGGCTGTTCCTCATCTCTAGGAGGAGAGTTCTGCTGGGTTCCCATCTGCATGTTTGTTGTCTGTAATGATCACTTACTAAAGAGGCAGTTCATGCCTGTCCAACCTCCCAGAAGCAAATTCCATCATCCATAATGCAATCTTCAAAAGGAGTGAAAGAGAGAGTTGACCCTTATGAATAATAAATTGTGCTAGTAAATGCGACCTAGCCACATGGCTCCTTTCATGCCACTGAAACAGGTTGTGGGGAAAATGTCTCCCGCTAGGTTACATAATGCTCACACAAGATTAAGTTGAGGGCACTGTAAAGTGCTGGTCTTCGTTCCATTGTCATTGGTGCAAACAGTTAACCACCACATTGAATATTACAGTCTCCGTGGTGTAGTGGTAAGACACTCGCCTGGCGTTCCGCGAGCGCTGTCATGGGTTCGTATCCTGGCAAGAAATTTTGTTTTCTATGCTCTATCTGATCCCATTGACATGCTTGCCCAGTTAATTTTGATCTCATACTGGTGTTCTGTCCTAAATTGTAATTTCAAAGCTAATTACTAAGACCCTTTGAAAATTTAATGACTGCTATGTGGTCTTTGGTTTTCACTTGTGTTTGGCAATTCCAAATTGGCCAAAATGTCAGATGTGCTGTGACAATTACTTCTCTAAGGGCTGTTGTATCCAGGTTAGGTCATATGCTCTGCACTAGAAATGAAACTTGTTCACGCCTAATACCAGTCATAATTCAAATGTAGTGCCACTAAATGCAGTATTGCTTATGCAAGGGGTCTACATAGCATAATCCATTCCATACAAAGTTTGTTTCCAAAATTTTGTTTCATTACAGTAAATTTGATGATGTGATAGTGCCAGAGAAGCAAATTTGGGATTGTATTTTGGCTACATCTGCCCTCGTGTGGCACCTTCTTTAATGCTTGTACTGTATATCGACTAATATTGACATTTGTCCAAAGAATTTTCAGAGGTAAATGTGGCCTAGGCCAAGTTTCAAGGTTAAGAAATTTAAATTATGAGAACTGTTCTGCTCATCTATATCTATCAAATACAATGTCAGTAGAGCTGATTCTACTGACACTGATATGATTTGGAGCTGAGGAAGAGAAGAAGGGCAGGACAGAGTAGTCCAACAGAACTAATGGAACACCGCATAAGCACATCGGGGAAAAACAAAAAAAATTTAGACTGTTGACCTGGCACCTTACCTTGGGGAAATATACATGACTGCGATGTTTCAAGTCAAAGATAGCTTGTTAAACTTTATAGTGCCTGTGTGGGAGAAGGCAGGATTGGAATCACTGTAGGTGATAGCAAGCCTGGGGAGAGAAAAAAAACCCATCAAAGTCACTACTACTAGGGGCCCAGGGACACAGCTCACTACCTGTACTGCACTTTAAAAATTCATGTCCGTATTTCCAGCACCTATTGCAGATGCACGCTGAGCATATGTATTCCTGAACAGAGCATCTGACACCAGCAAGAATTATGAAAAAAATGGAAGTCCTATCATGAAAAGTGATCTTAACTACTCTTAGGGGTTAGTGATGATAACCACGAGGGAGAGCATTTTTTTAATATCAACCATGAGGATAGATGCCATTCAACTATCAATGAATTTAACCTTGGGCCTCAAGGATATGCATGTATTTAATATCCTCATGGCAGTATTTTAAGTTCCTTGTCCCCAGTCGAGACATGGTGTGGGAAAATGACTCCCAATGCTGGCATTTACCTGTAGCTGAACATTTTGAGGAATCTGGGTCTCGCCAATGCTGGACAAAGCTGCCAGGTGATTGTCTCTTTGGATGGGATCACAATGATGCATGTGTCAGTCCTGAGTGAGGTAACATAGCTATTCGTAAAGCCAACAAGGTTGAGCATGACAAACATCAAAATATTTAGGCTATATAGAAGGGCAAAACAAGTCATAATACTATATGTAGTCATATTTGAATAAATCGTGCATGTTTAAGTACAATTACGATGCCATGGTCCCCTCACTAAGGAGGGGGGTAAAAGGCACAGTTGTCACAACTAAAGATGGAACCATTTCAGGTGATGAAAGTCACCACTGGGAACTTTATTGGGGCTTGACCCCTACTAAGAAAGTTGGAGTGAAATGGGAAGGATCAAGTTGGTAAACTAAAGAAGCCAGGTCTGGGGTCATTGCTAGGGGTTACAAGCCCAATTTCCCATCACTTTCTGACTGAGGGGCCTGGTCACTTATCCCACAAACCTATGTTTAGGAAGTTGATTTCAGGTACCATGCATCACAGTTTCAAAGGTTTAAACCCCAAAATCAAAGGATACCACCTACCAAGGCTGCAACAGAGGCCAGGCACTGGCCAGTGCAGGAAGAGTTCCTCATCTCAAACGGTGCCTTTCCCCACTTTTTAACACAAGTCCTACTGCATTGTACATTCTTCTACACTGGTGCAATACTTCCTTCTCCCTCTCACCTCAGTCTGGACATCCAACCAACCCCAAAGGGTGGTCCTTATAGCAGCTCCACATTTGTTTCATTTTGCATGTACAATGCCCAGAGAGAAGAGCCAAGGAAATCCCCCCCCCAAAAAAAATCCCTTGGAATCTTATGTGAATTCCTTCACCACGACGAGGTGAAACTCTTGAGGGGGGGGCATTTAGAAGAAATAAGAACAAGCTGCATTATCACTGAAACTTTGCAACCACTTTGTATAAATTCTGTACAGATTTTCTTTAATCCTTATAGAGAATGTTAAATTGTGGGGAAACTAACCAAATTTCAGTTCTCTACATAATATGAAAGTCTGTGTCCAAAGAATTTGAACTGCACATATAGCTGGCACGTCACTAATAATTGCCCTTGAAGGGTTTTATAATAAACAGGCATGTACCTGCTTGATGGGGGCGCTTGATGTAGGTACAGTATATAATTTGCTCTATAAAGGCATTAGAGTTCTCTTAGTTCTTGTCGGTGCAATACCTCCACACACTTTATATGGTTTCCAAATATACTTGCACCAATTGGCATGTGGAGACAGTATTTAAATTGTATGGCATTTCTAATACTAATTGCAATAAAAATTATAATTTTTAAAAATATTTAATAATCTACAAATTTTGGAATGATTCATACCACTAAAATCTAAGAAAAAGTACAAAGTCCATAAAAACAGTGCACACAGCATGTTGTTAGGTGCTCTTGTTACACTAGTTGATCACCATACTTTGTACCATATTGTTGCCGTTGACGTCATCACACAAGAAGGCAAAAATATGCAACAAGGCTAGTTATAATAACAACACTGCAACCTGTAACATAAAATGCTTTCGATCTCAAATTAATACTGCCTGAAATTCTATACACATCGAGTCTATAGAAATTTAGACATTTATCAATCTGTAAATATATTTAATTACTCAAACATGCTTAATTGCAAGATCTAATTTTTATATATGCTCACTGAAAAACAAATGTAGGGTACTGTACTTTAACAAAAGAAAATAGGTATAGTAGTACAGTACATTTACCAAGCAACAATGCAGTGTCACATCTTGTACAGCTATTATTAACAATAGTATATACAGTCTGCAATTTGTGCAAATCTCCAGAGAGAGAGAGTGCGTGTGTATGTAGTCACGTGAGTTGTGAACGAATTAATGAGACATGTAGAGGTACCTACATGTCTCATTAACAAACCCCAGATAACCAAACAAATGGCAAAACGTAATTTTTCTGCAAATTTTTGTTTGTGTATTTATTTTAAAATGTGTATAAATACCTGCAATAGTATTTTAATGTGAATGTACCAATATATTTGTAGCAAACCAATGAATTTGTGAAATTTAGCATAAATTTAGTGTCATCCAGTACCATATCGTGCCAAGGTTCACCGTTACTGCAGATGCTCCAGGTAACGTGGGTGGAAAAAGACAACGTTTCTGTATCCAGATAACCTGAGAATCTGGTTAATGGGGGTCACACTGTTTATTTTACAATAAGGTGCATTAAACTGCACTTAAGCTTCCACACACACACACAGTTGTGTGCGCTCACAACTAAGTACACACACACACACTAAAATAATTTAACAACTGTTCTAATAATGTTAGAGCAGAAGAGATAATTGCCAATTATTTTTTAATCGCCAAATTAATAATCGCATTCATACAAATACAGTACTGCAAGTCAAATGAGACCATTATTCCATGTACCTGTAATCTTTAACAATTTTAGTCCTTGCTTCCAAGTAAAATTGATGTGAATATATATTAAAGAATTTATACTTTGAAAAAAAAATTACCTTTCTATATTACAAAATATAAAGACATATCCATTGTACATTTGATGGATTTAAGAATCAAAATGAAACAACGTTTAAAAAATTGAAAATAAATATATACTTGTATGAAATAATATATATAGTGTGTATATGTGTGTGTGTTTTTATATATACTGTAATTATATATATATATATATATATATATATATATATATATATATATATATATATATATATATATATTTACTCTAATTAATTATATATATATATATATATATATATATATATATATATATATATATATATATATATATATATATATATATATATATATATATATATATATATATATATAATTAATTAGAGAGTCCAAACATGGTTCCATTAAATAAGTGGAAAAATTAATAATTTAAATACAAACATACAAATGTTTCATTTGTAAATTCAACTACAGTATAAAACATTGACGGTAATTACAAAACTATCACAAATACTGATTTCTACCTTCCCATCACTTTTAAGCAAATCACTAGAAAGCCCCTTTCCATGTATTAATTGTTAACATTAATACACCCGACCTCATGATCACAGGATGCCAGAACCAGACCATGTATGATTATTATGACATCATGCTGTTGGATCAACCAGGCTGTGACTCATACGTCAGGCTGCGAGCAGCCGCGTCCAACAGCCTGGTTGATCAGTCCAGCAACCAGGAGGCCTGGTCGACGACCGGGCCACGGGGACGCTAAGCCCCGGAAGCACCTCAAGGTAACCTCAAGGTATAACAAACAAAACCCAACAAGATACACATTTTGTACACACTTACACTATTGCTCTTCCAGGTTAAATGCCAATTTTAAGAGCTTATACCAATCCTAATACATTTCTTTTTACATACATTTCCCCAAATATGATTCACCAATCATTTTACAATTATGTCCCTTTATGCTGTTGGATTCATCATAGAAAAATCAAGAAGTTATAGGACTTCTCATTTGTGTTAACCAACATGTTGCAACAAACCATACTTTTTCCGGACAATGAAAATTCAATACTTTGCATCTGTACACAAATATTGGAATGATCTTAAACCCCTTGCCATGTATGCATGAAGTACCTGCCCTGTATATACACTACTGAGACAATATACAATATCTCTGATCACTGCAAAAGACCTACTTCATGAGGTTCTGATACACTGACATTATGTACAACACAAGCTTCATAAATCATATTTTTAACCAAAATAGCAAAAAATATATATATGAACAGTACTGAAAAGTAGATATTGAGGCAATCACACACACACACAGAATACATAAGTGAACAATTGCACGCAAGCATATCCAAAATAGGACTAAGATTCAGCTTTTGTTAATGGTACCTTATCTTCATTCTCAGGCAAGGTAACTTTGGATGAATTGAAAAGTGCAATAAACTTATAGTTACTGAGCAGTGCAATGGTCAACATACCTGTGCATATCGCAAACATTGTATGAGTTGAACTAATGAGGGTGTTATTGTGCACTAACAGCAAACCAGCACAGGTGATAACATTTGTCGGAACTCTAAACCAATTCATGATGCCAGCTCTCAATTCTTCTGGAATAACTTGAGATCGTAAGTAGCCAATGGCTGGGAAATACATGCCCACAGCTACTTCCAAAATAAGGAAGGCTACAAACGATAGATAAAGATGGTTTCCATTGGTAGAATAGATGCAGATAGACATAGCCATGATTGCTAAAAACACAGCCATCATCAGTAACTGCTCAGCTTGGAATTTCTTTGACAGAAGTAAAGCATAAAGGGATGAGCCAATCATAATGCATACCATAAAACTGGCAAAAACCATGCCAAGTGGAGGATGGCCAGGTCCTAAGATTGGAGTCCACTGAAACACAAAGATATACATGTTGGCTTCAAATAAAGATTGTACAACGCCCAGATAAAGGATCACCTCTTTAAATAATATTGATCGAAGACCATCCATACACGATCTACGAAGGTCAAGAGTTTGATTACCGTAATTTTCTTTCCAGGTTTTAAGTATAACAAAACCGGCTACAAATAAGAATGGAATTGCTAACATAAAAGGAGCAACTGGTCCATAGCCAAGTGTTTCAGCAAATATGTTTGAAAATACTCCAGCATTAATTGCAAGCACACCATTCCAGAACGTTGCCTTTGAAAATGTTACCGACAGCCATTCATTAGGAAAATCGTGAGTTTCTGTGTGCTCATATACATACCAAGATTCAAAGGTAGAAAATAGCATAGATGTTGAGATTCCGCCAAACACTCTACCCAGGAAAAGCCAGAAAAATTTTGAACTGAGCTTTGTAAGGCAACAAAATGAATACATAATGCAGAAAATGAGGGCCATCTTCTTTCTTCCAAATCTATCAGCCAAAGGTCCCGTGGTGGTTCCAAAAATGACACTACTAGCAAAGCCAACTACATACAAAAGAGCTATTTGGTTGCTGGCATATCCATAATGTTCATAAAGCTTGTATACATATGGTCCCTGCAGCCAGTCGGAAAATAATGCCATAAAATACACCAAAAAGAAAGAGTACTGAAACCTTTTAAAATGTGGATTATTGGCTGATGAAATCTGACTCTTTGTTTTCATAGCAAAGAAATGAAACACCAATGCCACAAGGGCAAGTACCGTGAAGGAACCGTAAATGAACGTTTCCATGATGCTGACGTGGCCCACCAAGGGAAGAGTAATACCACCTCCAATCTGCAAAAAACAAGATTTCGTTGTTATTTGTTACATGTAAAAAATCAAAATTATTACAAGGTACTATAATGAGTTTAGGCTGGTGCAATAAGCACAGGTTGTCATAAAGAGACAGTTATGTAATGATGTAATGCATATTACATTGTACATGTGTAATGTACATGTACAAAAGGAATTACTGGCAAAATGAAAAAAAAGTTTTTAATTTATAATGAACAGAACTCAGTGTGTAACAGTCAAAGTAAAATCCAGACCATCCACCACATAAAGCTCAGTTTCCCAGAGTGCTGTGCTTGCTCCAGTACTTTTTCTCATCCTCATATTCAACACATACAAGGATACAAACTATAGCACCCCATCATCCTTTGCAGACAACACTAGGATTTTTATGAGTGTAGACAATACTGTACAGAGGACACAGCAAACCTCCAGACTGATGTAAATCAGGTCTTTCAATAACCCACAGAAATAATGTTTAATTAATGAAGTTCCAATTCCTGCATTATGGAAAAAATGAAAATATCAAAATGGAAACCACATATACAACAGTCAGATCACAATATAGAAAGAAAAAGCACTATAAAAGATTCTGAAGTAATCATGTGAGAGGACCTTACTTTGAAGAACACAAAGTAGATATCACAACTGAAAGATAAATGACAAGTTGGATAACAATAGTCTTCATAACATACCCATTCACAACTGGACAGATTGCTGACCTAGAGAATCCTCTCAATAAAAATATCTAAATTACAAACTTTACAAACCTGCTCACATCTTCAGAAACAGTATCCAGGTATTCAGACACAGGACTTCCTTTAGATGTAGTTTACATGGACTTTTGCTAAGCTTTCAATAATGTACCACATAGAAGACTAGCAAGGAAATTACAGGCACATGGAATAAATGGTAGAATACTAGAATGTTTTAACCACTGTTTTACCCAAAGAAAACAAAGGGTCGTGCTAAACAGGAAGGAATCTGACTGGAGAAATGTGGAGTGAGGGGGGGGTGTACCACTAGGGGTCCATTTTGGGGCCAACTCTCTTTGAGAATATTACAAACCACATCATTAAATTTACAAATGACACTAAGATTTATAGTCAAGTGGAAAGTAAAAATTATATTGAGACCTTACAAAGAGATCTACATGAACTCCACAAATGGTCAGAAGACTGGCAATTGCTTTTTAATATTGAAAAGTGCAAGAACTTGATCTGGGATTTAATTCGTGTCACAACTATCAAATTAACAACATTACTTTACAGTAGATTGATGAAGAAAATGACCTTGGAGATAGAATCCATCATTCACTGAAAGTTATGCAAATGAGAGCTTTAGTAAAAAAAATCTAAGCAAATCCAAGGAATAATCAAGTGTACCTTTGACTTGAAGGAAAAGAAGGTAGTCATTCAATTGTATAAATCTCTGGTGCACCCCTACAATGACAAGATACTGGGACACCAGAACCCTATTCGATCCTCCAAAACCCTCATACCTGAATATCAGCCCAGGACATGTCGGCAAATACAGTACAGCCGAGAGTGGGGCATATTTCTAAACATCATGGGCCCAAGGGGTTGACCACAGGCCGGCTGGATTTAATAACACTGCGGACGACCTGAGAAATACAAGCCTTGGAACAGGAAACCAAGTGACCGAATTAACCCACAAAGCAGTCACCGAGGTAGAACCAAAAGCACAAAGGTAGTGGCAAGAGAGCTGTCACCAGATACAGGAGATGATGCACTCCTGGCCAAACCAACCTAGTATCAATCACCAAGGGACCCCTCCAGAAACCAGCGGACTCCTCCTTCCCCAGAAAAGGAGCCAGCAGCAGATGAACAAACTGCCCCAACAAAGTCAAAAGAACAAAATCCCTGCTGCCAGAGAAGAGAATGAAGCTCCCAACTCTAGAACTGGAGATCAGGGAAACCAAAAACAAAGCCTTGAAGCAATACTGAACCGAAGGGAACATTGTGAACTGAGAGAAGAGAAATGAAAAAACACAGACCAAAGACCAAGCAGGCTCAGGGGCATATGAGTAGGCTGGAGGTAGAACAAAGCAAGAGTCAGCCTGCAAAATGGGGTTGAGGAAGTATCGACACCAAATGCAAGCTGCAACAGCTCCACCAGCACGCACATGATGAGCGTTCTCCACGGCCTCTTCGTCTGGAGGTCGAACCCAGGTGATGTGATTCTTACAAGAGCTATGAGGAGAGGTTAGAGGCATTAAATACTGTATGTCAAAACTAGAAGATAGAAGAAAAAGAGGGGATATGATCACTTGCACAAAATAGTAACGGGAATCAATAAAATTGATAGGGAAGAATTCCTGAGACCTGGAACTTCAAGAACAAGAGGTCATAGATTTAAACAAAGTAAATAAAGCTGCTGAAGGAAAATAAGAAAATTCACTTTTGCAAATGGATGGCAACAAGTTAAGTGAGAAGGTGGTGGAGGCCAAAACTGTAAATAATTGTTATATGACAAAGTGCTGAGAAGACGAGACACCACGAGCATAGATCTCATCCTGTAACTACACTTAGGTAATTACAATGCAAGGTGCACAATGTATTAGGCATAAGATGCTGATCAGGAAAGAGCCAGAAAAGAAAGAAGAGCACTAACTGCTCTGAAACCGAAGAAGAACGGCATAAGGAAAGGAAGTGGCAAAAAGAGACCCAAGAAACTTCATTCTGCTGCCTCAGGAAAACCCACAGGTAGGACATTATGAACTCGGCCACTTGATCGCCACCAGAGAACACCGGAGCCAACACGGAAGAGAGGTGACCTGGTACCCACATCATCAACTATAAAATTGGGAGCTGGGATCCCGGCTGGCAGTAAGTTATCTCCAACCTCCCCCCAAATGAGAAGGAAAAGTTGGGCGAGGTTGCACAAGTTCCGAGAGAATTCTACTACAGTACAGTATTTGTATACATAGTTGGAAGAGTTCTTTCAGTGGCTTTTGAAGCTAGCAATGGTTTGTTTTGACTCGTTGACTTTCTGGTTGCCTTCCTCGGTGAGGTGAAAAAAAATAAATGCCACCACTCCTTGTACCTCCGAGTGGGGCCAGATTCTGGCGCTGCTCCCCAGTAGGCCTGCAGAACTCCATGGAATGGAACCATCTCAGCATATAGTAGCTTCAGGCAGTCACAAGGGGCTCCCCCCCAGAAAATGTAGTTAAACATGGTTACCACATGTAATAATGACAGGGCTAAGAGAAATTTGATAAAGATTTCCAATTCCCCCCAAACATAATGAGAGGACATAGGTACAAGATCAAGTACTGTAAATAATGGAGAAAAACAAGAAAAACTTCATTATAATTCATTGTGTAGGGAAACAGGTAGCCAGATTGTTTTATTCACATTAGGCTTATATTGAGGTCAAAAGGTCAAATTACTGACCCTCCCTAGGATACAACCCCACAAGCAGACTAACTCTTGGGTACCCACTTACTAATAATTACCTAATTATAAATATCTGTATCTAATTGTAATTGCAAGAAGAAAGCTATGATGGTGTTTTGTTGTCTATAAATTTGATCAAATGAGGACCTAAAATTAGATGTATTTTTGCACATTCTGAAGGTTTCTCCATTCCCCAACTACTCAATTACTGACTTTCATAGAAGGATCCTGGTAGTTCTAACGGGGTTAGTAATTCAACCTATTGGGGACCTCGATTCAAAAGCCTAACGTGAATGAATACACTATTCCTGTCCCCCGACACAATGAATTATTATTATTACTGTTGTAATAATAATAATAATGTAATGGAAAAGTGAAAACAAGCAGTCAAATAAACCACACAAAAGTGCATTTCAAATGATGTATGATAATCAAAGCCTCATTTCAGAGCCACTGTTAAATGCCTAATGTCAAAACCTAATGTCGAATTCAGCTGCTCCCTATCTTGAGATGAGGTTATCTTGAGATGATTTCGGGGATTTTTTTTAGTGTCCCCGCGGCCCGGTCCTCGACCAGGCCTCCACCCCCAGGAAGCAGCCCGTGACAGCTGACTAACACCCAGGTACCTATTTTACTGCTAGGTAACAGGGGCATAGGGTGAAACAAACTCTGCCCATTGTTTCTCGCCGGCGCCTGGGATCGAACCCAGGACCACAGGATCACAAGTCCAGCGTGCTGTCCGCTCGGCCGACCGGCTCCCTAAAATCACCATCTATAATAGACACAAAATTATAAGAACAGGGAAGACTCACCACCAGTGCTTCATGTAGCTGTAGTGTGAAGAACAAACCACCAAAAAAGGAGAGACTGTGAACCAAAGGCACTAACACTGGCCAAGGCCACTCACTGACAGCCCAAGTGGGAAATCTTTGGAATAAGCATTCACCAAATATGTGGTTCAGCATTTCAAACCCCACATGCACAAACCTCCAAATGTATCACGCTCATGAGTGCTTTCGTGGTTTTCCTGGGTTTAACCCTTAAACTGTGCAACGCGCCTGCAGGCTCACGTCTGGTTTGCGCAACGCGCCTCCGAGTATTTGTATTTTTCACGTTCCATTCAAAACTCCCGCGGCTACATGGGAGAATTTTTTTCCAGAGAATTTATTTCCTGCGCACTGGGGGGGGGGGGAGGGTGTCATATTTGGAGGCAACGCAGTTAAGAGATTAAGCAGACCAGACATGCGAGCAATTCGAGATAAATCCTCCATTTGTTTAGTTGCACCTCCGATAATAGCAGAAAAACATATATTAGGAGAAGTTGGGAACCAGTTTAAAAGAAGCTAAAGCAGTTGTAGTTTGTGATATATTCACTTAACTTCAAGTTCACAAGCCCATACTCAAGTCCTACTTTAGTTCATTTTTTCTAACATACTGTACCTGATTTTCAAAGATTTATTTTTCAAGGTACAGGTAATTTTATACATGCACGTTTACATTTTGTTAATGGTGATGATATTAAAACAGATAATGATAGGCAAATTAACAAAATTTAGATGAAGTATATATACCTTTACTCAAACATATTTTGCTTGCAGGCAACCTTAATAGATGTATGATTAAGTTCAAAGGCAGACTTTAGCTCAAACATTCCCTGCTTTTAAAATCCTCAACTAAATAGAGAATAAAGATCTGGTCCCTGCACGACTTAAGGAAGGAAGGATGGTGCAACTGCTGACAAAGGTTCCTCTCTTATGGTGCAAAATTGCAAGATCATTTTTTCACAAAATATGAAAATAAGGGGCAGTGTGTTAAAGACAATAGTTACACTAAGATTAACTTTTATAATATGGTAAAGCAGGTAAACCTGGATGCAGGTTATACTGTAAGAGTCGCATATAAACAAAAAATGGGCGAGCTGGCAATATTATGGCATGCCGAGCACACGATCATATCAGACTGTATCTGGCAAGACATAGCTAAACGGGTGTCAAGTAAACATGCTATCAACAGTCAGGACAGGAGTGCATGTAAATAACATCCAGCAAGAAACTAGGACTGACAAACCCACTGTCCAGGTAAAGTACAACAGGTTCAAGAGTAAAATTTCATTGGCTAATTTACATATTGCCTACAACATCCAGAGCCCAACCAATAAAGTAAACATGGCATTTCAGAGAAAATGTGAATCATGCATTTTGCCATGACTTCACTAGAAGCCCATGTATTGAAATGAATTATAGAATTATTATATCCTAAGCAAGAGTTGGTAAAATAGCCCAGACATCACACCACAAAACCATCAAAAGAGCGAACCCCAAAAGTGTAAAGAACCCAAAGCTGATGCACCCCTTCATGATGAGCAACAGCAACTCCGACCAGAAGGAGTGAAAGTCAAAGCAAGCTCAACAGCTTGAGAATCTGACACCTAAAGCCTACCCTGACAAATGATAGGCAAGAACCTGCCTTGAAACCTCCTCCCTAAAGCAATAGGGGCAAAACTCCTAACCCAAACCAGACAACTCAGTAGCTGACAAGCCACCATTGCAGCCAAAAGAATTTTAATCATTCAAGAACTGGAACATTCAGCTTTAATCATTCAAGAACTGGCTGGTGGTGGCTCTGCTTCCCCTCCCCCAATGAGGGGAAAGGTGGAGGTAACGAGCTGGGGGATTAGTTGGATGAAGTTTTGGTTGGTCGGTTTCTTTGGGGGAGCGTTCTTTTGATAATTTGAGGACGTAGGTCACATTTTTCAATCAGGCAGTGGTCTGTTGTGATTTGCCTACCTATCTGGGTGCCTTCCCTGGTTGATGGCAAGATGATAAACTTTACATATAATGTGTTCATGGGCCATGCCTCCCTGTGCCTCTGTGAGGAGACCGGTTCTGGTTTGTGGTCCCCAGTAAGCATACAAGAACTCTGCGACTGAAGACTCCAAGTTATGTGGCACAATCAGTAAGCAAGCTTCAAGAAGCGACGGGGTTCCCCACAAAAAATACAATTCAATGGAAATTACGTAGTGGTTTTACAGCATTCCACTCCAGATTTTTATAAAGAAATCCAAATTTCGGAGGTAAAAATCCAGAGGTACAGAGATTATACCTAAATATACTCCATGGCCACCATCTCTAATGACCTTGACAGAGACATGAAGCCAGTAGCTTATCAAAGGTCCCCCTTTTACCTTATTTAGAAAGATCTGATTTACCCGATTTACCCAAGGGCAACTAACCAGACTTAGGACAGGAAGCCAGCAGCTTATTGAAAGTTCCCCCCATTTGTTTTCATGATCTTTTCCAGGTATCATCTGTTAAATGAAGGTCCAAATTTTGGAGGTGCCATTATAATTCGTTATAATGCTTATAATTATACATACTGTATAACCATATCCCACTGCCAACCTTAAAGCAAGTATAAAATTACTGTACTAAAGTAACAACTGAACATTGGATCCCAGCCCAATTGTACATGGGACAACAGTCAGGAGTAGGGGAAACCTGAAGTGACTGGGGGGTTCCACGAGGAGATGGATAGTACAGGTGACAGAACAGACAAACAAGTAACAAAAGGTAACATCTGGCTGTCATTGGTGATGATGAAAGTGGGTTTACAGTGTAGGATTTGGAATTCATAATTTGACCTCTAGCAGTCATGATGGGCTAATTGAGTCGGACTTACCTTATGAAGCAGCCAAATGAGATAGCTCAGAAAACGTATTCACTAAAAATAAAACTGCAAGGCATCCACTATAACTATAATCCAAAGATAAATAAACTAATAAAAAGGAAAGCCAAACACCCAGCACCAAAGCCGATACAACTTGTCCTTACCACCAACTCCCTCAAGTTGTTCGACGTGTTATTCCCTGCGGCACCTGCCATGTTTCTGCTGTGGTGGCTGGAGAGAGAGTGAGGCCGAGTCAGGGTGTGCTGGGCTCATATAACATAACCACAGGTGTGCAAACAGGTGTATAAACAGGTGTGAGGGAGAGCTGGAGGCAAGTGTAACAACCACATAGTGATCGCACCACTTGCAATACAATGGATGCGTCTATTTCAGTTTTAATGAACTGTATTGAGAAACATTAATTAAAGTAAAAGAAATGAAATTTAACAGATGCACCTTTCACTCAGACTATTTACCTGTAATTGGTTACAAACTTTCTATTCTCTAACCTGGCCAGGGCCATGTCTTTTGGTGATAACTTGCCCAATCTTGGGTATAGTATAAACTGTTGGGTGCCTTTATTATATATCTTTCAAAATGTTGCACACATCTTTGTTTACTTTCTTGCTCAACAATAAACCCTTCCAATTAAAACCATTCAGGAAATGGCAAAGTTTCCCATAGTATCCTCTTCTGAAGCAGAGTTTCTCTGCTGTCTCACTCACCCCAATCTTATCTAGATTATAATCCTCTTGAGGTTATCTTGAGATGATTTCGGAGCTTAGTGTACCCGCGGCCCGGTCCTTGACCAGGCCTCCACCGCCAGGAAGCAGCCTGTAGCAGCTGTCTAACTCCCAGGTACCTATTTACTGCTAGGTAACAGGGGCATCAGGGTGAAAAACATTTTGCCCATTTGTGTCTGCCTCCACCGGGGATCGAACCCGGAACCTCAGGACTACGAATCCGGAGTGCTGTCCACCCAGCTGTCAGGCACCCCTATGCACAGTATTGCATACTGTATTTAAATTCTAATAAGGCACAGTCGTTTATCTTGCTGTGCAGTATTAGTATTAAAAATAAAGTAAATGAAGCATGAACACCAAGTGGTTTTAATGGTGCTTTAATTCCCAGACCCAATAGAAGTATGATTAACCTTGTGAGATCCAGCCACACTTGGCCTTATTATGTATTCCCTCAGGTGATAGTCATAATTGAGGAAGTAAGGTGACTTGATTCTGGGAGGGCATTTGTATATTAAGTTTGTAGGTGACAAGCAATATCAATACTGTATTTAGAATGACAAAATTATAGATGTGATCATGATAGGAATATTAGAGAGGGTTGTGAACCTACTACTGTATTGGGGCATGTAAAAATTGATACATGCAGATGATACCATTTTCATGTTAACAATAATAGGAGATTTATGCAGATTACTATAAAAATGATATTGATGAGGTGTTGAAGAAGACTACTTAATATTGACAAAATGAAATTTACAATGGAGGAGAGAGAGAAATTCATGAAATTAATGTGAACAGAGAACTGGTTAATAATTTAAACACTTTGGAAGTGTTATCAAGATGAGAAGAACCTTTACAAGCTATGTTAAGAGTACAAAGTCTTGAAAGGAAGATGACCTATGCAATGGAATCCCAGGTAAAAAGAACACTGATAAAGGAAGACATGTGATCAGAGGGCTCTATGAAGATTTTTTTATTTATTTATGCATATACAAGAATGTACATAAGGAATGTGAGGATACAAATATGGTAATTACAGTCTTGTAAAGCCACTAGCACGGGCAGCGTTTCGGGCAGGTCCTTAATCTAAGAAAATTTTAAGGAGGTAAATACTTGCAAAATTTATAGACAAAAAAATGATAACAGATGATGTGGTGGTGCCTACCCACATATATGGATACAAGATGGTGATGTGGTATGAACATGAAAAAAATCAAGAATTAAAGTAACAAAATTATATTATCAAATAAGCATATGTAGTGATAGGAGAATATTTAAGAAAGGAATGAAAATATTGTAAAAATGTGGAGTGCAAAAGTTTGCACATTGCGTGGTTGAGGAGAGAGTACCAAGATGGTTTGGTCATGTTGAAGAAATGGATAATGATAGAGTGGTAAAGATTGAATTCAAGTTAATCTAAGGATAGGAGGAGGAGATGGCAACTGAGAAGATGGGCACACATGATGAACAAGTCTGAGTGAACATAGACATCGAATGAACGGTCCAAGACGTGATAGGGAACTATGTGACAGCAGAGGTGCCATGAGAATTGTAGTGCTGTACTCAATAGTTCACAGTACCCAAGAACTGTACAGTGCAATACTTGATAATTTCAATTATCAAGAAACTGTGGTATTGTAGAGTATCCAGTTTTACATACAAATTTAAAATCAGTGATGGCTCTAAAGTTATCAATGATGACAGATGTTCGGCACTGTATGAATGAGAATGTGTACACTTCATATGTATTTATTACAGATTGTAATATACTGCACAGTACCATAGTAAAGAAAACCCTGATAAACACAATCAGTTGTAGCATCCCTGTTTATGGTTAATAGTAAATGTTAAAAGGGGCTATCTTATCTACCATCTTTTAGCTTCACCACAACCATTACATTTAGTTACAATATAGAAATGTTTAACATTAGTGATGAGACGAGTACAGGTCACTGACAGTTGTAGTAAGATCAGTTTTATCTTGCCTGATTTGAACAAAGCACTGTGTAAATTACTGCATTGAACATGGTTATTTAAAGTTAAACATACATTGGAATAGGGGTAACATCCTGAAACCATCTAGTAAATGCTCTACAGAATATTGTATTATATTATTATATCAGTGCAACTTGGGAATAATAAATATTTATAATATACTGAACAGTGTACAGCCTAAAGTACTTGATGGCAACTTACCAACCCAAACTGTGTATCACTGAGAAACAAGTGTCAGATGCCCAGCTTCAAAAAGTCTTAACTACAGTACCAGCGGTCAGGAAAGGCCCATCAAGGCCCCAGCAAAATAGGAGTAGCAGTCATGGGTAGCTCAACACCACTAGTAGCTGGGATTTGAGTCAGAGTTTAATTACTGTAGTTTGTTATGGACCTCCATACATATCCTGTGGGCAACTTTAGAAAGGTTACAATCACAAAATGGGTTCAAAAATTGGACATCAATATTCTTCAGGTTAATCAATTTACATTTTCAGTAAATTAGTTACAAATAGTTTTAATTTGCCTCAATTTAAAAACAGATTATATATGTAATGATCCAATTACTGTACTGTAAAGTACTGTAGCTAATGTTACAATACATGAGTATTAACTAAGCAAGTGTGGCTATTGTAGATAATGCTCTTTTAAACACTCACTGGTCATAAGCTCCCACTACCTGAAACTTTCTTACTAATTTCAGCAGTATGGAAGGAACACATTTATTATAGAAAATATAATAAACAACAGGGTGGTTGATGTATGGAAAAAATTGCTGGGTAACATAATACATGTGGGATCACTAGATTCATTCAAGTGTAGGTTATACATGTACAGTATATGAATGAGTTTTGGCTAAATATAAATAGGAATGGTATTGTATTGATCAATAGGCCTTCTGCAGTTTCCTTTATTCTAATGTTCTTTTGACAACAAGTGACTACTGACAAAAATGGTTCATTATAAAACGTTACTATACTGTACATACAAGGCGGCTAAATATCTACATGTAACAAATAGAAATAATCATCAGTGTGCCAATCTCCATTGTCTAAACCACACGACTTTATTCAAGAATCTAGGGGCTGACCGAAGAGCAACTCATAAATGCCAGAAATCATTACTGTAGTACAGTATATATTTAAAACTCAGAACTATATGTACGGAAAGTATAAAAAAAAAACTTCAGACAGTACTATGACAGTGTAATTAGCAGAATTAGGCTTGGATACTGTTACTTAATATACCGAGTAATGAAGCTCAATGCAAAATGTATATATGATTTAAGTTTAATATAAATTAAGAACAAAGGTTCAATTGTTTTACGGACCCTAATTCAAGTGTCCGGGTAGTACAGTCGGGTTCGTTCTCGACGCTCAATCGAGAATTCCGGGTTCGAATCCCGGCGAGACAGAAATGATTTGGCACATTTCCTTTAACCTAATGCTCCCATTTACCTAGCAGTAAGTAGGTACTCAGGAGTTTAATCAGCTAGTTGTGGGGTTGCATCCTGGGCAGGGTCAGTAAGTCAACCTTTGGGGGAAAGGGGGACCTCAATAAAAAAAAAAAACTAACGTGTATGAATACACACTGCCTTCCTGTCCCCCAACACAATGAATTATTATTATTATTAAAATATAAGCCATTAATAATTAATTGTCCTGAAGACTCCCCCAGGCTTGTTACATCCCCTACAACAATCCCTGGATAGCGGGTATTGGAATGCAGATATATGATCCCCTTTTCCTTTCCCCTCCTCCTCTAATAATACTACAGTAATAATAATAATAATGTACAAAGAAGTCACATTAACATGACATATTAATGAGAAAATCAGTAGAAGCCACGAGAAGGATTCGAACATATGCACTAAGCACATGCTATTCACCACTTAACCACGACAGGCTCAAATGTAATGCAACCTGGAATTCAAATGAATCCTCTAGAGGTTAGGTTGGCATACATCTCAGTGATGTGGTGAAGGCAGACTCAACACACAGTTTCAAGTACAGATATGATAGAGCCCAGTAGGCTCAGGAACCTATACACAAGGTTATTGACAGTTGAGAGGCAGGATCAAAGAGCCAAAGCTCAACCCCCACAAGAACATCTAGGCGAGTATATTGTCCTCTCCTCACATCAAGTTTTTCAGTGGTTTCATTTTCCCCCATTCTCTTCATGGCACTGAGAATATTAACCCCAAGGTACCTAACAGTAAACATAATGACTGTGACACTGGCCATATTAACCCCAAGGTACCTAACAGTAACCATAACAACTGTGACACTGGCCATATTAACCCCAAGGTACCTGACAGTACCCGTAACTGTGACACTGGCCATATTAACCCCAAGGTACCTGACAGTACCCGTAACTGTGACACTGGCCATATTAACCCCATGGTACCTGACAGTGCCCGTAACTGTGACACTGGCCATATTAACCCCATGGTACCTGACAGTGCCCGTAACTGTGACACTGGCCATATTAACCCCAAGGTACCTGACAGTGCCCGTAACTGTGACACTGGCCACATTAACCCCAAGGTACCTGACAGTACCCATAACTGTGACATTGGCCACATTAACCCCAAGGTACCTGACAGTACCCATAACTGTGACACTGGCCACATTAACCCCAAGGTACCTGACAGTACCAATAACTGTGACATTGGCCACATTAACCCCAAGGTACCTGACAGTACCCATAACTGTGACACTGGCCACATTAACCCCAAGGTACCTGACAGTACCCATAACTGTGACACTAGCCATATTAACCCCCCATGAGACCCGACAGTACCCATAACTGTGACAGACACACCATTAAACTCAGATAAACTTACGACGTGAGAGTTAACTCCCAGAGGACCGCGACGTTCTGACCAGCACTCAGAGATGGCGTGTCTTGGTGTGCCCCCTGGCAGTATGATGGTGTCCCTGGCAGGACTGGCAGGCTGTATGGTGGCACCAGGAGGTGTGGAGGTGGTGGTGGTGCTGGTACAGGAGTCTTGGGGGTGACGGAGGCGCTGCAGGTGCTGGGGGAGTGGACCTGCCACATCAACAACAGGCACTCCACTTCACTTCGTTCACCTCTCGTTCACCTTCGTTCACCTTCTCTAATATAACTCTTTTACTGCTCATATTAGTTTGTTTTTAATTTGATCCTTTCCAACTAAATACATTCGTATACCGTAGTTCTCATCATATCTGCAATTATCTATAATATAACAACTAAGGAAATCGTTACTTGTGTTCAAGAATGGTATATTTTGTGTTAGATTTTTAATTTGCACGAATATATTTGAAACATAACAGGAATGTATATTTTGCAAACGCCAAAAATAAAACAAACATGAATACATTCAATACGATGCTAGAAACCTTCTAAATATACGGTATATTATAGATCATATTATATCAATTTATTTGTTGGCTTTATCACATAGCCGCAGTGAAAGATCTGCAGAAGATAAGATAAAAACTTCCGAGTCCACGTTGACGAGGAAAATCAATTTTTATTTATAAATCGTAACAACTAACATATAAGCAATCAAATTAACAGATTATTATATCTTTACATTATTTTCTTCAATTTCATAAAGTAAAAAACAGTTAAAGTGTACAACAATTATAAAAAAAACAGTTATTTAAAGGTCATTAATCGAGTAATCTCGATCGGCGTTTTTTTTTAACATGTTTCCTGTGTGATGCTGTCTTCACTGCCACTGTGGGGAGAGTATAATAATAAATAAAATAAAATAAATAAATGTTTATTGAAATATCTCACAATCGAAAGTCGGCGAGGGAAGGCGTGGGACTCCTTTATTTTAATGGCCAGACGCTTGGGCTAGTCTCACTCAAATTTGCAGGGGAAAAGGTCTGGGGTACAGGGCGGGCATAGGCTGATTGAGAGTAGGTTCAGTTTAGTTCATTTATTATGCACCTCCCATACCCATGCTGTAGGCGGTGGTGGAAAGGGATACAGAGGCACATAGTGTGCTCAGGGACTGAACCCCAAAGGGGCAAAGGGATTTGCTTAGCATATTAATTTAGCTAAGCAAGTGACAATCTTGATAAGCTAATTACACACTTTAAATTATTGTATATTAGTATTATATCGGCAATGGGTTCGAGAATAGTCAAAAGTACAGTTTCTAGGCAATGTAGCTTATGAATGCAGCGAGCTACATTCATAACTGGTTTGACTATAATGAGCACCCTCGACCCCTCCACCTATCCAGAGGGCAGCGGTGGAAAGGTTACAATCATCCACATTTACTACTTTTCCAACCCCTTCTCCTAATAGCATAATGTATTTTGTATATATAATTTACATTGGGCCAAAAACTGATGTACAAAAAATAGAAGCGGCTCACGAAATTTATTTATGTATTATTTATATATTTACTTAATTATATACTAGAAGGTTCATTTTGGTTGTGAAATTACATAACATTGATGTTTATTACATTTTTGCAAAGCCACTAACACGCATAATGGAAAGGTCCTTGGCCTATACTTAGACAAAACACTCAACTTCAGCACCCACATACAAAATAACCATGAAAGTCTCTAAAACGGTTGGTATACTCTCTAAAATCAGATATTATATACCTAACTCTGCTCTCCTCTCACTATAGTACGCACTATCCATATCTTACATGTGGTATCTGTGCATGGGGTTCAACCACTGCAAACTACCTCAAGCCCATCATCACCCAGCAAAAATCTGCTATCAGAACAATAACAAACCCTGCTTCCATACAACATTGAGGACCCTCCCTGTTTAAATCCCTAAACATGTTAAACATAAACTCACTCCACACATTCCCTTGTGCCATTTACATTTACAAAACCCTGCTCTTAAATGCAAACCCTGTTCTGATACTCTCCCTGGACAGATGTAGCAGAACCCATAATCACCACACCAGAAATAAATATCTCTTTGATACCCCCAGAGTCAAACTTAGTCTGTGTAAACACTATGCAAATAAAGGGACCTAGTCTATGGAACTCACTCCCTAACGAATTGAAAAGCTGTCCAACTTTTGCCTTATTCAAAAACAAACCAAAAAGTACCTAATTTCCTCTTCATAGTTTCCTACTAGTGCTTTAAACTTGCACTGTATCTAGTTCTACTCAATTCCCCAATATATGTATCTATGCCATACAACTTTACCATTGTAATCATTACTATCATCTTATATCAGGTTATTATATTAACAAACATATTTTATTGCATTATACCTTGAAATAATCCTAAAATTATGCTACCATGTACCTGTTTATAATCCTCAAATTTTTCTTTAATGTACCTACTAATCTTTGTTAAATTTTCTTACAATGTACCTGTTAACATTTTATAAATCTTGTTAGAAATTACCTACTTAAAGTTATCTGTTAGAATAAGGACCTGCCCGAAACGCAATGCGTACTAGTGGCTTTACAAAAATGTAAAAACATCAATGGTATGTACTCTCATGAACCCAATGTACCTTCTTGTATATATATAAATAAATAAGTAAATAAAATATGTAGCGTTTCAGGGGCTAACTGCTAAAAGTAATAATAGGTACTTTGTAGTAGAGTATGCGTTCAAAACTTTTACCTGATTTACCTGAGGGGCCACTAACCCCAGTGGACTTGACGAGGACAGGAAGCCGGCGATTTGTCGAAGGTCCCCCTCATTTCCCTTGATGATCTTTTCCAGGTATATTTAAAAACTCAACACAGTTTTGGCAGTTACGGTTTCGGCGGGTAGGCAGTTCCATGGGGTTAATAACCCTGTGGGTGCAAAAGAATCTCCTGTTCTCAGTCCTACAGTGTGGCTTGTTGAGCTTGAAACTCGTTGGTCCTTGTTTGTGTTACATCTGACCTTCTGAAGAAAATATCCGGATTAACATTAACTTGTTCAGTATTGTAAAAGTTTTAATGAGATCCGCCCTGCCATGCCTGGTTTGCAGTGTCCTGAAAATGAGGTCTTCATGCTTGTATACATTAATCTAAATGAGAGTGCACCAGAGATGTATACAGTTGAACCATTACATTTTTTCCTTATAGTCAAAAGTATGTTTGATTATCCCAAGAGTTTGGTTATCTTTTCTAACTGCTGCACCCACCTGTTGTACAACTTTTAATGAGTGGTGGATTTTGACTCCACGTTCATTTTCTTTGTCAATCTGCTGTAATGTAATGTAATTAATTTAGTAGTTGTGACGTAGGTTTTTATGCCCCACATGCAAGGTCTTGCATTTGTCGATATTAAAAAGCAGTTGCCAGTCTTCTGACCATGAGGGGAGTTTATGTAGAGCTCTTTGTAAGGTTTCAATATCATTATCATTTCCCACTTTACCATTAATCTACACGTGTTGTAGATGTTGATGTGACGATGTGCACTGAATTTTGTAACTAGCTCATCAAGACTGTAACTTGCTTAGCTAAATGAATTGTGGGAGTCAGTCCCTGAACCCATTATGTGCCTCTGTAACCCTTTCCACTACCGCCCACAAGATGGGTATGGGGTAACCCTATTTAGTTTAACTAAATAGAGTTACCCCATACCATTTATTTATTGTTTATGTATTTGATTTATGGTTAGTTTAACTAACTATAAATCTTTGTGTCATCTGCAAATTTTGTGATGTAGTTTGTAATATTATCATCTGTCATTGATGTATATGACAAAAAGGGTATAGGTCCCAAAATGGACCCTCGTGGCACTCCACTTATAACATTTCTCAATTCACATTCGTTTCTATTTAGTACTACTCTATATTTTCTTTCCTTCAACCATTGTTTTATCCATTCTAATATTTTACCATTTATTCCAAGTTTCAGCGGTAGGCAAAAGCTCAACAAGCCACATTGTAGGACAGAAAACAGGAGAGGTTTTTTAACCCACAGGGTCATAAACCCATGGAACCGCCTACCCGGTACAGCCGTAACTCCCACAACACTGTTGAATTTTAAAATCCAGCTCGATAAAATCATCAGGACAAATGGAAGAACCTTTGACAAGCCACCGGCTTCCTGCTTCGCGGCACTTGTGAGATAAGGTCTCCTCAGGTAAATTCAGGTTGTAGTCAGGTTGTTTTCCAAAAAACTAAGCGAAACATGCACTTAGAAAGTTTACTGTTGCTCTGAACTATGGTTATGAAAAAAATATATATACTAGTTGACCCGCTAGCTAATGTAATGAGCTGTAATAAGCCTCTAGAGGCTGAAATAGGCCTTGAGCTGGACATTTTAGTTTAGTTCATTTATTATGCACCCCATACCCATCTTGTGGGCGGTAGTGGAAAGGGTTACAGAGGCACATAATGGGCTCAGGGACTGAACCCCACAATTCATTTAGCTAAGCAAGTTACAGTCTTGATGAGCTGTACATGATGGTAAAGTTTGTGTTGACATAGCAGGTTGTGCCGGCGGGCGGTGTCAGGGTGACGCAGTGTTGCCAGACTGGGCGACAAGTAGCGAATTGGGCTACTTTTAAGAGCCCCGCGCTCCCAAATTTTTAATTTCGCTACTTGCTACTTTTTGGGCTAATTTAAAAGTAACATGTGCTAATTTGGGCTATTAATGTTAAGAATGTACGATTGCGAGTTACATGAAAGTAACTAAGCTATAAATAATTGTAATTAATAATAATTGTAAATATTAATTAATACTAAATAATATTATTTAATAAATTAGTCCGAATTCAATGCAGAGTTTTCTTCCAAGCACAGAAACTTGTAAATATAAATACAAGATAATAGATAGATCGATAAATAAATAGACAACTTTCATATATTGCACCAAGTAATGGCGAGAGGAAAAAAACTAGACAGTATACATTACATTTGAAATTAATAATAGATGAATGGTAATAAACTGGTGTATATTTGTATGTATACCAGACAAAGTCCATTTAATGGCAGAATTTAACCATTTTGTGTAAAAACTTTCATATCTCATATTAATTATAACAGTAATCGAAAAAAAGTCATAGTTTGTATATACAAGAGATGAAACAGCGAGCCATGAGCTAGAGCGATGTGCTGAGTCCATAAGGAGGCGGAGCTTCCAGAGATACCTTCCTGTGATTGGCTGTTGCAAGGAATACCAACACTCTTTTATGAATAAAATTTATACTAAGAAATAGGTCCTTGTGCACAACAACAAGGTTGTTGTGAAAAAGAACAACAATTTCTGTTTTACACCTGACAGAAATCTCCATCTAACTGAATAATTTACTCGAATAAGAGGGCAGAGCAGCGTATCATTATTTGTGTGAGGCAACCCCCACTGATGACGTCACAAGTTAGGTAGCCAGCCCATGTTTCTGTAACACTCGTTACATCCTGAAGTATTTAATTATCACTATATTAATACTTTTAAATACTTAACATTTCACTTTTTAGATAGATTAAAGTTGAAGCAGAATGTCATAAGTAAGGATGGTGTGCTGAATAAATATGATTTATTAAGTGGATGGAGCCTTTAGCTGATCCCTGCCTGTGATTGGCTGTTGCGGAGAATGCCAACGCTTATATGAATAAAATGCAAAATATGAAATACGTCCTTTTGCTCAATAACCTTGTTGTTGTACAAAAGAGCAACAATTTCTGTTTTATACAAGACAGAAATTTCCATCTAACTGAATAATGTAGAGCAATAAGAGGGCGGAGGCATTGTATCGCCGATATTATTTGTGTGAGGCAACCCCCACTGATGACGTCACAAGTTAGGTAGCCAATCCATGTTTCTGTAACACCCGTTACATCCTGCAGTATTTAATTATCACTATATTAATACTTTTAAATACTTAACATTTCACTTTTTAGATAGATTAAAGTTGAAGCAGAATGTCATAAGCAAGGCTGGTGTGCTGAATAAAGATGATTTATTAAGTGGATGGAGCCTTTAGCTGATCCCTGCCTGTGATTGGCTGTTGTGTGAATGTCAACAAAGATATGCCATTTATTATGCACCCCATACCATCTGTGGGCGGAGCTTGGAACCTCCTACCCGAGCACAACAACCCGCCTTATGGGTTGCTGTTTGGCTATTTATAGTGCGTTGGAAAAAAACTAGATGGCGTTAGTGGTATTTTGTGGGGTAATTTGTTATAAGTGTAATTTGATGTCAACAGATGGCGTAAGCTGTACCTTATGGCCACTGTTGACCAGCCAGTTGATAGTGTTCTCTTGTGCCGACAGATGGCATCAGCTGTGTTATTATTACTTCCGAATTCCCTTTAAACACTGATCTATAAATCCCTTGATTTATGATAAGGTTTTATACCAATTATGATAAGTATTAGATAACTGGAGTTCCGCTTTTACTTTTATTTATCAACTGTTGAGGATATCATCATATAACGTCTGGTTAGGACGTACTGCTCTCGATTGATGAAGATTAAGCCACCCAAGAGGTGGCACGGACATGAATAGCCCGTAAATACTGCTCTCGTAATATTATTCAGGGGGGTGGGGGAACTATCAAGTGAAAGCGCCAAGCCATTACGACTATATAGCACTCGGAAGGGATCAGGATACGGATTTGGGATGGAACGGGGGAAAGGAATGGTGCCCAACCTCGTGGGCGGTCGGGGATTGAACTCGGACTTGTAGGAAACGAGACCGTCGCTCTACTCCAAGTGGTTAAGCGTAATATTATTAAAACAATTTATGCATATAATAACAGCATTTCACACTAAAAATACTTGGATATATTGAAATTTGGTAGTGAATTCCAATCTAGGAATCTCCTATGACTAAACTGTACTTTTTAATAATTTTTATGTACTTGCTACTTATTATTAAATTATTAAGTACTTACTATAATAATTAAATGAATTATTTTATTTAATATTTAAATTAAATGATAAAATAATAGGTAATAATAAATCATTGTGTAGGGGGACAGGCAGCCAGTGTATATATACATGTTAAGCTTACACCAAGGTGCCACAAAGGTGCCAAATTAAAGACTGGGTGCTGCAGGGGCTGGCTCAAGGGCTGCTGGCGGCCCTAGGGCCAAGGGCCGGGCAGTGTTTTGTGATCGTCAATTGCATATATATATATATATATATATATATATATATATATATATATATATATATATATATATATATATATATATATATATATATATGCGAACAAGCCTGAATGGTCCCCAGGACATATGCAACTGAAAACTCACACCCCAGAAGTGACTCGAACCCATACTCCCAGAAGCAACGCATCTGGTATGTACAAGACGCCTTAATCCACTTGACCATCACGACCGGACATAATGAGGTGATAGCCGAGGCTATTTGAACCACCCCACCGCCGGCACTCGGATAGTTATCTTGGGCATAGCATTTTACCAAATCACCTCATTCTTTGGGGCAACACGTGAGGAACACAAATGCGAACAAGCCTGAATGGTCCCCAGGACATATGCAACTGAAAACATATGTTTTCAGTTGCATATGTCCTGGGGACCATTCAGGCTTGTTCGCATTTGTGTTCCTCACGTGTTGCCCCAAAGAATGAGGTGATTTGGTAAAATGCTATGCCCAAGATAACTATCCGAGTGCCGGCGGTGGGGTGGTTCAAATAGCCTCGGCTATCACCTCATTATGTCCGGTCGTGATGGTCAAGTGGATTAAGGCGTCTTGTACATACCAGATGCGTTGCTTCTGGGAGTATGGGTTCGAGTCACTTCTGGGGTGTGAGTTTTCAGTTATATATATATATATGTCGTACCTAGTAGCCAGAACGCACTTCTCAGCCTACTATGAAAGGCCCGATTTGCCTAATAAGCCAAGTTTTCCTGAATTAATATATTTTCTCAAATTTTTTTCTTATGAAATGATAAAGTTACCCATCTTATTATGTATGAGGTCATTTTTTTTATTGGAGATAAAATTAACGTAGATATATGACTGAACCTAACCAACCCTACCTAACCTAACCTAACCTATCTTTATAGGTTATATTCCTATATGGCGTTCCGCGAGCGCTATGTCATGGGTTCGTATCCTGGCCGGGGAGGATTTACTGGGCGCAATTCCTTAACTGTAGCCTCTGTTTAACGCAACAGTAAAATGTGTACTTGGATGAAAAAACGATTCTTCGCGGCGGGGATCGTATTCCAGGGACCATAGGATTAAGGACCTGCCCGAAACGCTACGCGTACTAGTGGCTGTACAACCATGTAATAACTCTTGTATATATCTCAAAAAAAAAAAAAAAAAAAAAAAAAAAATATATATATATATATATATATATATATATATATATATATATATATATATATATATATATATATATATATATATATATAATATGTGTGTGTGTGTGTGTATGTGCAGAAATAATATTAATAAAACAATTAACATCGTGTAGTGTATTCTATATATCAAAATATATTACTTTGAAACCTTTTAAACCTTTTTTTTAGTACTTTGAATTGGGCTACTCTTATTACAAATCCGCTACTCTTAGCGCGTGAGCTCCGCTACTTTCAGCAATGTGGCCCTGGCAACCTGTGACTGGAGGCATGATGGCATCAGTGTAGCGCATGTGGTCGTGGGAGGTGCGTGTCGGCCGCTGCCACCGGTGCTCTCAGTTACCTACCCTCTTCCTCACACCACAACCCTACACCCACTTTAATAATCACCACTTTATTGTAAATGATAACGTGCTTGAGAGAGACATCACTAGTGAAAGCGTGTTTTTGTTTTGTTTGTGCCAGGGAGGAGGGAGCAGGCACCCCCAGGCTAGTGTGAGCGCCCCAGTACACATTACAGGACAAAGTACTGTACCCGGTAGGCTGTAATGGTGTACTGCAGGGTGCCTCGCCCTACTGTCACCCTCACATCTTGAGACAATGCCATAATCTTGGGCTCCCTGAGGCTCTGGCTGGACTCTTTACGTCCCAGAATTATTCATCATTTGAGTCTAGGGTAAGTATGGTACAGTCATTTCCTTGACAACACATATTGTTAATAATTAATTTAGCTTCGTTTGGTACAGCAACTTTCATTTGAAGTCTTTTGTATTTCGTAACTGGGGTTCGGTTTTCAGTGCCCATTTATGCAGTGTTTTAAACGTTCCCAACATCCTGGATTAGGATAATAAGCCTAGGCTTATTATCTAGGCCTAGGCTTATTATCTAGGCCTAGGCTTAAATATCAAGAATATTTTATTTATTTATTTATATACAAGAAGGTACATTGGGTTGGGAATATTTTCTTGAAGTAGCAAGACATAGATTGACATTTAAGGAGTAAGATAGATTACATGGAATTTATTAGTTAATATAGTACTGTGCATACTTGGTTTTTCTCTTAAACTGGTTGAGAGAGGCACAGCCTTTGACATGACTGGAAAGGTCATTCCACATTCTGGGTCCCTTGATTTGTAGAACATTTCTAGTTTGGTTAAGTCGCACTCTTGGATTATCAACTAGGGATTTGTTTCTGGTGTGGTGCTATCTATTCTGACCCCAATCCCCCACACACTAAATAATATTGTAAATAATGAATTATAAAAAGTTCACTCATGGATGCCGACCAACAAACTCACACTAAACTTAGAAAAGACCTACTATATTTTATTTGGTAGTAAATCATCAAATCAAATTCAACTATAAACAATGTTAACAATATCAATAAAACTGAAGGAAAGTTTCTTTGCTTATACATAGACAAAAGACTGAACTTCAGCACCCACATACAACACACATCCAAAAAGTCTCAAAAATAGTCGGTATACTCTAAAATTAAATATTATGTTCCCCACTCTGCTCTCCTCTCATTATACTCCGCACTAATCTATCCATATCTTACATACGGTATCTGTGCATGGGGCTCAACCACTGCAAAATACCTCAAGCCGATTGTCACTCGGCAAAAATCTGCTATCAGAACTATAACAAACTCTGTCTTTAGACAACACACAGCCCTCTGTTTAAGTTCCTTAACATGCTATTTCCTATACTATTTCCTTAACATCTCTATAACATGCTATTAGTGTGATGTGCTAAACATATATTCGAACCCCTGTTGGAATCAGACCCCACTATGGGATGGGTCTACCCAAGTATCGTGCTTCCAAAAGGGTCGCCCATGTTGAAATAGATGAATGCCAAAAGAATATTGTTGAAAACATCTTAACTTATTAAACCAAAATTATTTATAAGTCAGAAGAAAGACATAAATGAGATGTATATGTAAAACCTCTACCAGACAAATATTTTACGTACAGTAAAACCGAAGATATTTGTAGTTGTATAAAAGTGGCAGTTTTCATTGCATGTCAAGCTCGAAACCCGCAGCATTCATCTCGGAACAATGCCTATTTTCATCTGTGATAGGTTGTCATCCTACCACTGTCATCTGTGAACTTTCACAGATGACAACAAAGAAATGAGCGAAATACTGTACTGAGGAATCAGTATGACTTTTCAGCGAGCCACTAAACACAGTAAAGATTGATAATCCAAATTAATTTTTCATGGATGTGATTCTAACATCAAATCATATATCAGATGTCACCCTATCCCCACTGGATTTTGAAGAAGCCATAGACAGTATGCTCATACACTCTGCACCAGGCCCTGATTCTTGGAACTCTATATACATCAAGAACTGAAAAAAACACTATCGCAGGCCTTCATATTCTTTGGAGACAGCCTAGATACAGGCATTAACCTTGACATACTAAAAACAGCAGAGATAGCACCACTTCACAAAGGAGGAAATAAGGCAAAAAATTGCAAACCGATAGCACTAACATCACACATCATAAATATCTTTGAAAGAGTATTAAGAAGTAAGATCACAAAATACATGGAATCACAGCATCTCCATAATCCTGGACAACATGGTTTCAGAACAGGGTGCCCTTGCCTATCACAGTTGCTGGACCACTATGACATGGCATTAGATGCCATGGAAGACAAACAAAACACTGATGTAATTTACACAAATTTTGCAAAAGCCTTCGTCAAATGTGACCATGGTGTTATTGCACACAAAATGTTTTCAAAGGAATTACTGGAAAAATGGGCAGATGGATCTACAATTTTCTGACTAACAGAACTCAATGTGTAATAGTCAACAAAATAAAATCCAGTCCATCAGCCTTGAAGAGCTCAGTCCCTCAGGGTACTGTGCTTGCTCCTGTACTTTTTCTCATTCTCATATCAGACATACAAAGACACAATCTATAGTACAGTACTGTATCATCCTTTGCAGACGACATTAGGATTTTTATGAGAGTAGACAACATAGGGGACCCGGCGAACCTCCAATCAGATGTAAATCAGGTCTTTCTATGGGCTACAGAAAATAATATGGTATTTAATGAAGATAAATTCCAGCTCCTGCGCTATGGTAAAATGAAAATATAAAAACGAAAAGCATGTACAAAACTGAGTCAAATCATAAGACTGGACAAAAAGGCAATGTAAAGGATTTGGTTGTTCTCATGTCTGAAGACCTTACTGTTAAAGAACACAATAGAGTAGGTGTCACATCTGCAAGAAAAATGACAGATTGGATAACAAGAACCTTTCACACTAGAGATGCTACACCGATGATATTTTTCAAGATGCTAGTGTTCTCTAGAGTGTAATACTGTTGCACAATGACAGCCCCTTTCAAAGCTGGAAAAATTTCTTACCTGGAGAGCGTGTACTGCTTTGCGAGCCTTTACTGCTAGAATCCACTCAGTAAAACATCTGAACTATTGGGACTGACTACTATGCCTAAATCTGTTTTCTCTTGAGCACAGGCGGGAGAGAGACATAATAATTTACACATGGAAAATAGGAGAGAGGCTGGTTCCAAACCTGCAGACAGAAATAACACCACAAGAGACCAAAAGGCATGGCAGTGTGTGTAAAATACCCCTGTTGAAAAGCAGAGGAGCTGTAGGTATTCTGAGAGAGAAATCTATCAACATCAGAGGCCCGAAATTGTTCAACATGCTGCCACTACACATAAGGGGCATACTGGCCGCCCCTCACAGTGTTCAAGAAAGAACTTGACAAGCTCCTCCAAAAAATACCTGATCACCCAGGCTGTGACTCGTTCATCGGTACGAGTCACGTCCGTCAGGCAGATGCTGCGAGCATCCGCCTCCAACAGCCTGGTTAACCAGTCCAACAACGAGGAGGCCTGGTCGACGACTGGGCCGCGGGGACGCTAAGCCCCGAAATCATCTTAAGGTAACCTCAAAGTAAGCACCATACCAGAAATAAATGTATCTTTGATATCCTCAGAGTCAAACTAAATCTGAGCAAACACTCCTTGCACATAAAAAGACCCAGTCTTTGGAACTCACTCCATAATGAATTAAAAAATTGTCCAACCTTTGCCTTATTCAAAAGTAAAACCAAAAAGTACCTAATTTTATCCTCATAGATTCCTATGTTGTGTTTCAAACTCACACCGTATCTTACTAGCCACTTCCCCAATGCTAATATTAGTACAGTACTTGAGACATGTATATATTATATAGATACTGTATCTTAATTACATGTTGATATGAAATTTTGCTTCAATGTACCTTTTCATCTTACCTCGTATGTTACATTAAGGACCTGCCCAAAATGCTATGCGTACTAGTGACTTGCAAGAATGTAAAAATACCAGTCTTATGTAATCTCAAAAACCCATTGTACCTTTTTGTAAATAAAAAAATATTATTATTCAAATTCAAATTTTTATTCAGGTAAAAGTACATACATTGATGAAGAGTTACAAACATAATGTTGGATTTATAGATAGAGCTAGTACATGCAATCTTGAGGTTATCTTGAGATGATTTTGGGGCTTTAGTGTCCCCGCGGCCTGGTCCTCGACCAGACCTCCACCCCCAGGAAGCAGCCCGTGACAGCTGACTAACACCCAGGTACCTATTTTACTGCTAGGTAACAGGGGCATAGGGTGAAAGAAACTCTGCCCATTGTTTCTCGCCGGCGCCTGGGATCGAACCCAGGACCACAAGATCACAAGTCCAGCGTGCTGTCCGCTCGGCCGACCGGCTCCCTACAATACCTAAAGCCACTAATACGCATAGTGTTTCAGGCAATTATAAGGGCAACGAACAGCACAAGCAAGCAAATGTGAAGTTGCCAGTTATCCACATCCCTGGCAAGAGCAGGAGCAAACAAGCAGAAATTGAGTGGTGGAATAAGGACTGCTGCCCAAGAACACCTGAAGAACATTTGACACTTCATGCCATTTATGTGTACTTTTACAACAGCCCCCCTGCCAAGCCACCCAAGGAATAACAAGGGTTGTCAGCCACCCACTATGAGTCAGGAACCTCGTATCATAACCAAAAAGGTGACACCGACCTGAACTCGAACGAAGCAGGGTCCATCATGGAAGAGGGATCCATATTCCACAGGAGGTACAGCAAAAGGTCTTCACAAATGCCTCGGTTAAAGCAAACTCATACTGATCAGGAGGATAAGAGAACCCCCCTCTCCAGTGATTATACAACCCTTCTTAGAAGCCACAAAATAGAGAGAAGAATCTAAGGGCATCCTATGGCCTAAATTGGGGTTTCCCATCTCTATTAACCTGCCCTAAAAAACTGGGACAGAATAAAAAATCATTGTCCATCTCTTTGAAAAGGAAGGCATACTCCTTAGGAGAAAGTATGGAGGAAGCATGCAGCTGTGAAGGGAAAAAACTCCCATAACTTTGGCAGGACTTCATAGGCCAGCTACCTTTTGTACTCGAGAAAGAAGAGGCATTCCCTGGAACTTTCTGAGCTATACCCAAGGAAGATTTAGCTGCACCCAAGGAAGATTTAGCTACATCTTGCTGAGCTAATTCCTGCCCCAACTCTGAAACCGTAAGACATTTTGGAGCCGGAAGCAGGATGGGAGGAACTGAAGCAGGGCAAACCACATCTGTCTGGGAAGGAAGGAGAGGTGTTCTCGGAGCCAAGATGGAGATCACCAACCCCAGCAGGCCAATGTGAGAAGGAATTCACAACATTTAGATATTTACCCCCTTATTTAGTATGCTTATATGTCTATGTCTGGCTTCAGAGACAAACATGTTATTACTTGATTGCAAACTATTTATTGCTAATAGTGAGGAAAGGGAGTCAGAAATAATTAAGCTGTTTACTTCAGTGTTGTCAATAATTTCTAGTGCTACCAGTATTGCTACCAACTCAGCTTGTATTGTGGATGCCCAGTTACTAACTCTTATATTCCTTTGAATTGTACTGCCATTGGGCTGATGAGCAATAACAGCACTTCCTGCCCTCCCTGTAGCTGTATTGAGTGATCCATCAGAGTATATGGTCCGTGCAATGTTGTTTGGAGTTTGTATATTGTAAATGTATATTAAACACTAAGGTGCTTAATTTAGCAGCAAGCTGAGCATGAGGGTTGTTTATTAGTTTCTTGGTAGGGTATGCAGGCATCAAGATGTCAAAAGGTACTATCTGCCAGGGTGGAAAGAAGTGCTGTACTTGTCCATCTGTACATATATTGTGCAGTCCCATCATTTTAATGTGTGTGGCTGTTTTTTTAATCCATTTAGACTCGATGGTTTCATTATGTATGTGTTCTAACAGTTCAACTGACACAATGTTGCTTTTATCACGCAGAAGCTCTAGTCCCATCATAAGATTAATTTAAAATACAGTATTCTATTTTGAATGCTAGGTATATTTAATTCTTTCTGCATCTTGAGAACTTCAGTAGTTAGAGGACATCCAAATATAATTCTGAATGCTTCATTTTGCAGGACTAAAGCTGGTGCATGATAGTCTATCAGAGACCTTATATATATGCTAAGTACATCATTTTTGTTCATCTAATATTAACACCATATTTAGGGCTGTACCCCACTACAGTTCTGAGAGCCTCGAGTCTGTCTCTACATTGTTGATGTAACTTATTGACTGCAGTTGAGGTTCAAGGGACAGACACACCAAGGTCTTTGAAAGAAGAGACATTGTCTATTGGTATGTCAAGCTTTGCAGACTTTCTTGCTGCTTTCCTGGTGAAATGGCATAATATCATTTGCTCATCATGCCTAGTGTGGGGGGGGGGGCAGGTTTTGTCACTGGGCCCCTGTAGGCCAAATGAACTTGTGCAACTGAGGTGACTGGTAGATTGCAGCAATCTCAGTAAGATAGCTATAGGGAGACACCGGGGCATCCCCAGAAACAGGCTGTGACAGTTGTCCCTAGTCTATCATAAGTTTAGTGATAGATATACAGTACATGCAGTTAATTTGTCCTAACTTGAAAGGTTTTTTTCTTTTGCCTATTTTCTGGAAAAAATATTAATCGGGTGTATGTGCATAATCAAAGTAAAGAAAATATCATACTAGGTAACTAGATATACCAGTAAAAAATGCAAAATTCTTACTGGTGTTTAAATTAAAAAAAATTTCCTTATCACCACTTGCTAATTCTCGATTATTTCTCAAAATTTAGGTTCAGTGATCCTCCAAAAAACATTTCACGACTTCCCCACCCACCACCTTGGGGATTACAGTCCACCAATTGGGAACTGGTGTTTCACTGACTATGCAGAGACATGTTCTGTAGTACTGTACAAGCATTTTCACTGTTGTCTTAACCAGTCGAGTTTGATCCAAAATTAATATATTTTTGCATATATTTCGACCAAATCTCCTCTTTGTTTGTAAAACTAATTGGTGTGCTAAATAAACATTTTCTTTTTATCAGGAACAGTGAGCCATGAATAAGGGAATGTTAAAGCGGCTGCTGTCGGCACTGATGTACGGCATCTGCTCTTTCCTTATTGTGGTGGTCAATAAGACCGTCCTCACCTCCTACAAGTGAGTAGTATCTTTATACTCATTACAATTTTCCTACCTTTTTATTTTATAAATTACTAACCACACTAAGTTCATTAATGTATTTAATATAACCCCTAATATGCAGTTATTTAAAAAGACTGCATTGAGATGCATATGAATAAAAATAGTTAACAAATCAAATGGGAAAAATGCATGTGCTAATTTGAACACATGGGAAAATTGCAGATTCTCCCTGAGCACCAATTGCAATATATAATATATACTGTATATGTATTGAGCTCCAGGATCATTCTACCACTTGCAGCCAATCATTGGTGGAATGTCATTTTCAGAGTCCTCTGGCTGAACTAGAAATTCAGATCCCAACCTAAATAAAAGTTACTCTTGTACAGAAAAATCTGCTCTATTCAATGGTGTCATTCAAAACCAAATTGGGAATGACGCATATTGAGATATTTTGCCTTGAAAGTTGGCTAGTTTTGCACAAAAATTTTTTTTGGCCAACTTTCAAGTGGGCCACCTCTGGACATATGGATACAACAGAGTTGCTATTGCATCACTGCATAATATTGTGCTTGTTATACATCGTTGCAAAAGATCATGGCGTTTAGACCTTTTGCTGATGAGTAAGTGGTCTCCAAATTAGGGTCCAAATTTCTCATGACAAAATTTGGCAGTGATTTTAGCATGGATGGATAGCTGAATGGCCACCCTTACTGCTTTTTCGATTACACTACGTTATTCTACACCAAAAGTTATCCTGGCATGTCAAATTTCACACTGCTACAGGCAATAGAAGTGATTGGACAAAGGGTCAAAGTTGGTCATTTTTGTGGTACAGTATTTACGCATTAACGGGACGAGAGCCACTTGAATATGGACCTGTTATTTAAGAACCAAAACAGATTGAGCTCTAATATTTTGCAAAGTGTCTTTTGGGGTCTAGGGTTATCTTACTACAAAATTTCATGGCATCTGGAGAGGGTCGAGTAGGAGCCATAGGTGACTTTTTGGTGATTTGAGATGGAATGACCCATATTACTATAAGAAAGATTAATTTTTTTATTTTTGGTATAAATATACTTAGCTAATTGTAGCCATCGGACTGATCCAAAAATCATTGCGGGTGGTCAGAATGTGACCCTGGCACCCGATTCCCTCTGAGGAACTGAGTTGCAATTCTGGCAACCCATGACCAATCTATGTCTGTCCCATACCTTACACCTCCTATGCAAAATTGGGCAAGGCTAGCCACAAGCATCTGGCCTCCACCTGTGGGCAATGGCTTGTATTGCCACAGTAAGCATCGGTATTGTAGTACTTTGAAGTTCAGGAACAAGATAATTATCCTCGCTAGGGAACCTCAAAAAGTCTGATATGCTCCCTATTCCCGAAAGTGATATGCAGTAGCAGTGTATGTGAATGTGAGAGGCTTGCGGTTCCCTTGTATACAGGTGACAGATGTGGCTTCACAGGTGTGGTTTCACAGGTGTAAGGAACATCTGTCACAGCCTCACCCCCCCCATGTTTTCAACCACCCACCCACGACCTCCAAGTTTTAACTGAAATTGTTTATTGTGTCCTTTATATGCGGGTCTAATATTAAATGTAAATTGTAAACAAAAATATTCTCCTCTGGCCCTAACTCTCCACTCTGGCCCTAACTCTCCACTCTGGCCCTAACTCTCCACTCTGGCCCTAACTCTCCACTCTGGCCCTAACTCTCCACTCTGGCCCTAACTCTCCACTCTGGCCCTAACTCTCCACTCTGGCCCTAACTCTCCACTCTGGCCCTAACTCTCCACTCTGGCCCTAACTCTCCACTCTGGCCCTAACTCTCCACTCTGGCCCTAACTCTCCACTCTGGCCCTAACTCTCCACTCTGGCCCTAACTCTCCACTCTGGCCCTAACTCTCCACTCTGGCCCTAACTCTCCACTCTGGCCCTAACTCTCCACTCTGGCCCTAACTCTCCACTCTGGCCCTAACTCTCCACTCTGGCCCTAACTCTCCACTCTGGCCCTAACTCTCCACTCTGGCCCTAACTCTCCACTCTGGCCCTAACTCTCCACTCTGGCCCTAACTCTCCACTCTGGCCCTAACTCTCCACTCTGGCCCTAACTCTCCACTCTGGCCCTAACTCTCCACTCTGGCCCTAACTCTCCACTCTGGCCCTAACTCTCCACTCTGGCCCTAACTCTCCACTCTGGCCCTAACTCTCCACTCTGGCCCTAACTCTCCACTCTGGCCCTAACTCTCCACTCTGGCCCTAACTCTCCACTCTGGCCCTAACTCTCCACTCTGGCCCTAACTCTCCACTCTGGCCCTAACTCTCCACTCTGGCCCTAACTCTCCACTCTGGCCCTAACTCTCCACTCTGGCCCTAACTCTCCACTCTGGCCCTAACTCTCCACTCTGGCCCTAACTCTCCACTCTGGCCCTAACTCTCCACTCTGGCCCTAACTCTCCACTCTGGCCCTAACTCTCCACTCTGGCCCTAACTCTCCACTCTGGCCCTAACTCTCCACTCTGGCCCTAACTCTCCACTCTGGCCCTAACTCTCCACTCTGGCCCTAACTCTCCACTCTGGCCCTAACTCTCCACTCTGGCCCTAACTCTCCACTCTGGCCCTAACTCTCCACTCTGGCCCTAACTCTCCACTCTGGCCCTAACTCTCCACTCTGGCCCTAACTCTCCACTCTGGCCCTAACTCTCCACTCTGGCCCTAACTCTCCACTCTGGCCCTAACTCTCCACTCTGGCCCTAACTCTCCACTCTGGCCCTAACTCTCCACTCTGGCCCTAACTCTCCACTCTGGCCCTAACTCTCCACTCTGGCCCTAACTCTCCACTCTGGCCCTAACTCTCCACTCTGGCCCTAACTCTCCACTCTGGCCCTAACTCTCCACTCTGGCCCTAACTCTCCACTCTGGCCCTAACTCTCCACTCTGGCCCTAACTCTCCACTCTGGCCCTAACTCTCCACTCTGGCCCTAACTCTCCACTCTGGCCCTAACTCTCCACTCTGGCCCTAACCCCTGCAGAACTAACAACACAACAAACCAGACATGACAGGGCTGATCTCGCCGAAGCTTGGAATACTAAATAAGTTGGAGGATAGGAATGGTACTCACCTAGTTGTGCTTGCCAGGGTTGAGTTTTGGCTCTTTGGTCCCGCCTCCAAACTGTCAATCAACTGGTGTACAGATTCTTGAGCCTATTGGGCTCTATGAAGTCAACATCTGTGTCTGGAGTTTGCCTCCACACACATCACTGTCTAATGTATTCTACGGTGGAGGTATAAGGATGTTGATGACGGGATAAAAGGTGGTAAGGGATCCCAGTGATAAGGATAATGGCGGGATAGGGATGACGGTTGGCCGAGCGGACAGCACACTGGACTTGATCCTGTGGTCCCGGGTTCGATCCCGGGCGCTGGAGAGAAACAATAGGCAGAGTTTCTTTCACCCTATGCCCCTGTTAGCTAGCAGTAAAATAGGTACCTGGGTGTTAGTCAGCGGTCACGGGCTGCTTCCTGGGGGTGGAGGCCTGGTCGAGGACTGGGCCGCGGGGACACTAAAGCCCCGAAATCATCTCAAGATAACCTCAAGATAAGATGGCAGGGGATGAGGATGGTGGCAGGGTGGGGGGGGGGAAGATGCTCTCACAAGTAGTGTACCACATCAAACTGTATGCATGTGTGATAATGGTATGATAGACAGTATACTACGGAGCTACAAGCATTTTGCCCCAAGAGTGTAACACTTATATGTTGTGTTTACTATATTAACCTGCAGTGTTAAATGTGATTCTTGTACTGTGATTTGTGGATTTGTACTGAATATATTTGTACGCCCCTTGAGGGACCTGAAGTAGATGAGGGTAGAAATAGCCTAAGCTAATCTATCCCATTAAGATGTATTTTCCTGTATTAATAAATGTACTTGAAATTGATGTTCTCACGGGTGCATCCCTGTGAGAACAGGGATCTTCTTGAGGTTATCTTGAGATGATTTCGGGGCTTTTTAGTGTCCCCGCGGCCCGGTCCTCGACCAGGGCTCCACTCCCAGGAAGCAGCCCGTGACAGCTGACTAACTCCCAGGTACCTATTTACTGCTAGGTAACAGGGGCATAAGGTGAAAGAAACTCTGCCTATTGTTTCTCGCTGGCGCCCGGGATCGAACCCGGGACCACAGGATCACAAGTCCAGCGTGCTGTCCGCTCGGCCGACCGGCTCCCTCCAGATGCACCTGTGCTCTATACGATAATGCCAATAATGACATTCATCAGGGGGGGGTAGAGCCCACCTGTGGAACTCCATCTTTCCCCACCTCATTATACCAAGGAAACATTTGCTAGCAGAGGGCGTTTTTTTTTATTTTTATTACTTTCTACCCCAGACGTGGCCAGACATTTACAGTGCTAACCAGCATATATACATTTTCTTCTGTCCTCCATGGACAGGGTGAGAGATTTTTAAGTATATAGTTCAGGGATTTATTGAACAATCAACCACAAAAGGTGATTGTAGTGCTTTTAAAATGCTAGGCTAAGCTACATACGTCAATACATAGATACACAGATTTCCGTCTGCCCTACGTAAAGTGTTCGATCTGTCCTTTACATAGTGTCATTAATGTGCATTTATAAAGGTGAAATGTAATTCTGATCAGCTTCCACATATACTTTATAAACATACACATACATATACATAGATACATATATATACACACATGCATACACATACATTTGTCTCTTTTACTCTGACAGGGTGAGATAGCTGATAGAGAAACTAGTGTGCAATTAAGCACTTAACCACTGAAGGTGATTAAGATGCTTGTACAAGCTCAGGTTATATAGTTACATCACATACATTGTATAATTGATACATGGTCAATCTAGGGTACAAATCCAATATATCATCAAGTGTTCCAGTACTCATAATATGCCCTGGTGGTAGGGGACCGACACTACTGTCAGAGGTACGATCCGTCCCACAAAAAGCATGTTTCCCGTCCTAG